GGCTTAAAAGCAGAAAATAGGATGGATCTTAAAAGTTGGTAGCGGCAGGCTTACAAAGTTTAATTGCTGTTTTTACCAACTACGGGTTTTATTGCAAAGTAAACCATGAATTGATGAAGGACTTCCTTATGTGCATGCAGTCTGAAGTAATATTTACTGTGATGCACAGGATGGATTTCTGAAATATCTAAAAATCTTTATTCTTTACTGCAGCTTGAAATTCAAAAGCACCCGTTCTTTGAATCTCTCAGCTGGACTGACCTTCTTCAGAAGAAGATTCCACCACCATTTAATCCTAATGTGGTAGGTGCCTGCTGCTGTTTTAGTTCATACCCGCCTAATTTCTACCTTTCAGGGCTCATCTATTTGCAAAAAATGTTTGTCTCAGAATGGTGAAGAATGGGAGTCCCTCAGTGCTGACTGGCCTTTTGAGTAGGGATACTGTCTTTTTTTTTACTTAAAACTGTTTGACATATCACTCCTCCTTCGGCTCATTCCTGTCAGAGTACTGTCAATTTTTGTGGGATCTGAGGGCCAAAGAAGAAAATACAGATAGCCCCTTTGGTTGAAGATTTTCCAAAAGACTGGTTTCCTGCCTTTTTTATAGTTATTAAGCCTTAGTTGCAGTTTTTCATTGTTCTCACATCAATTTAAGCTGTGTCAACCTGTGACTACTTGTACAAAAAATTAGAAGGAGGGACAGGACAGCGGCAAGGACGTGCTTCCTAAAGTCACATCAGAGCATCACCTTTTGTTGAGTCTACATCTAGTTGGGGAAGAAGCCTTAGCTGTCCTGTCTCTTCTCTTGGTGACTAAATATTACTATGCTTTAGTTCTTAGGTGTGTTACTGGGAAGCTGAGCTATCACAAAACCAATACCATTGCTAGAATTTAACACTTGAAGTATTTTTGATGGAAAAGGGAAAAAGAGAACTTGATGTGTTTTGGAGTGTTTGGGTTTTTATTTTTTGAGGGGTTTAGTTTTTTGAGGGTGTTTTTTTGGTGGTTTTTATTGGGGAGATAGTTTTTGCATGTCCATAACAGTGATTTAAGAAACAGACATTTCTTCATATTTCTTAAGTTGACCAGATCATAAAGGTATGTATGTTTTGGCCTGAACTCCAGCCTAAAAGAAACAAGCAGGCTTTTAATACCTGTTTTCAGGGATGCTGAGGTGTGCTGCCTTACATTTCCTGTACTTAAATATGAAAGAATGACATAAAGTAGCTAGCCTAAAGAGCTAAATTTGCAATCTAAAGGACAAGCACAAGTTTAAACCACAGTATTAATGTGACAACTGACAGATCTTTCTGTTTTCTAGGTTGGACCAGATGACATTGGGAATTTTGATGCAGTGTTTACAGAAGAAATGGTGCCATACTCAGTTTGCGTTTCTTCCGATTACAGCATTGTTAACGCCAGTGTCCTAGAGGCAGACGATGCGTTTGTTGGATTTTCTTACGCGCCACCTTCTGAAGATATGTTTTCCTAGGAAGACAGAAGTCAGCAGTGTTCTGGAAGTCTTGGGGTGAACTGCAATGTTAGGGTTATGGACACATTCCAGAACAGCGTAACTAGTGCCTCATTTTTGTATGTAGGTTTGAAACCTATGAACAAACTTTCTCTGCTGTATAGGAGGAACTTGGGCATTTTGGATAGCTTTTCGGGGGGGTTTGAACCGTTTGTTCCTGCTGCACAAAATATTTTTTAAAACCTTTAAAAAGTGTTCTCTACATATTTTTTAAGCAAAAACACTGACTGTTCTCAATCCCTTCAAGTTTACATTCATACCTATGTAAGATGAAGCTGGCACAAACAGCGGCAAATCTAGTAAATTTATAAATGCTTTTGTACCTATTTACAGTGACTTTGTGCTTAAATTGTAACTATGCAAATTGTCTTTTGTATATCCTGGTATAAAAGAGGTAAATGTTTTCCCTGTTATATCAGTTTGAAATATATGTTAATTTACCTGTCAGCACTTAAATGAGGGGTTAATATAAGTTAAGAGCAAGATTCTTAAAGGACTTCTACAGAATGACAAGTTGGTCATGTAAAACTGGATTGTTGTTCTTGCATTTGCTTGAAGTACCCATTAACTCGACTGGATTATCAGAGGTATGGGCAATTACTCAAAGCAAGGATGGAGCAAATTAACTGTATTAATTTGATAACATTACTGATTGTCTGTTCTACTTTTCTTTCCTCCTTGAGATAAATAAGTGTATTTCAACTACATTTAAAATATTTTTGGTTAAAGTTCTGCTTTTCCAAAGATATAATATGCAATAATCACTGTTACTTAAAAAAACTATCTTGCTTTGACCTTTTGGGGGTGGGTGGTGAGGGGATCATGCCAGATATTTGGGATTTTTCTCACAGATTTATAATTTGAAACACTAATATGTTCCAAGTTGATTGCATTTCAGCATTTATGGCTACTTGTCTTTTGTGTTCCAGATCGCACCATTTTTAAATCTTCACTTGATATTGGGGGAAAAAAAAAAATGTAAATTACGCTGATAATTTTAAAAATGTGAAAAGCTGTTGTATTTCTCATAACATACACGTGTATGGACAGACTGATTCTGAACAATTTCTGTTTAAGGAAATTTTTAAACAATGCAAAAATTGACTGCAGTTACAGTGTATAAAGGCCTATCACAGTAGTAGTTTTATTATATATATATATATTACTTGTAAATAACAACTTATTTTTGTCTGTTACTTCAAAAATGTTCTGTGTTTTTTGTTCATACTCAGTTAAATGCATTGATTTGAGAGGAGTCTGATAAGACACACTGATGAGTAGCCAGTTAAAGGTTAGATAAATTTCAGTATGTAAATCATCTGATTTTTGACAGAATAAGAACCAGCTAAGGTAAATGCTGTCTATATTGCATCAAGATCAGTTAAAAATTGAGAACATTGGGGGAAAGTGTGTATCGGGTCATAATTATTTTGAAATTAATGTTCTGTCAACAGTGAAACATTAGACAAATGGAAACTAAAACAGGACAGGATTTCTTGCTTATCTGTCATTGTCTGCTATAGTGCTCTCTCCTGCATAGTGCTTAAGTGATGCTGAGCAGTTGCTGCATGAGGTGTTGGAAGGAGTGGTTGGATAAAAGAAGTCAGAACTGACGTTGGCAAGGAAGGAATTGTCTTGTTTGTGGGAGCAGAGTTGTGGTTTGGCGCTCATTTTCCATAGTGCTGCTCTGAAATTTTAAGAGGTTTGGAAATAGCTATGCAGCTGTTCAGGACAACCAACTACTCCATGAATCCTGTTCTTGCAGTTATAATCATCTGCCTTCTTGGTAAAGCGAATGTGTTAAAACATATCACTTGCAATACTTAAGTTCACTTTGTTTCTTCTACTGTAAGTTCACATTGTGAAATGCCTTGGTCAGATCAGGACTTCTAAAGATAACAGACCCCGTGTACAGCATCAGGCAATAAAGCCTCACACTACTTCTGCATCTAGGCCTCTTGTTCTGTATCTCTCTTCATTTCATGACAGTGATTTTCAAAACGAGAGGACTAGGTTTGGAGTGTAGTAGCCCTTCCACCCAATGCTGAGCTGAAAAGTAAAATCTGAAGCACTAGTTGTGGGAAAGCCTAGATGGGAGATTGTCAAAGAACCTACACAGGAACCACCTGTGGTATTCCCTTCCTGTTTTGTCAGATATGTAATAAAGGGAGGTAAATTTTCTCTTTTTGTGACTAAGGCTGGGGGGGGAGGTTTGACTATCTGGCGAAAGGGAATTGTTCCTCCCCTTCCCAAGAGGTTCATCTGAACCCTGTGTGGAATAGGCTGCTTCTCCTGGTGTTGTGGAAGCAAATGAATGATGCTGTCTTTGTGCTCTCTGGTTTTTGGGACAGAGAGGAGAGCGAGAGAGACAAGATGATGATGGACTGACTGAAATGCAAAGCAGTTGTAAAAACATGAACTGAAATACAACAGAAAAAGAGTTGAGGTGCTGTCCTGGAAGGTAAGTTTGCAGACAGATAGCATAGTAAAGGCAGCAGTTAATACGCAGTATCAATGAGAGAAAATGGTTTTATGTTGTCTTTTAGTACTTTACCATACTGGCAGTACATGATGCTCTTACAGTGACCTGTATAGTGAAGGCAGTGTGCCTTACAGTAGCTGTGTCTTACAGTAATGGCTGATGTGCTTGTGCAGCTGTGGTCTTGTCCTTACTCAGAAAAACAAAACAAAACAAAACCAGAAAAAAAACCCAAAACCAACCAACCAAAAGAAAAAACAACAACAAAAAAAACCACACCAAAAAAACAAAACAAAACAAAACAAAAAAACAAACAAAAAAAAAACACAACAGCGTTGTTTCAGTGCAGGCGTGACCCCCCAGGGGCCTGAGGAGCTGTGGCACCTTTCCTGCCGGGCCTCGCGGTGCCGCTGGCTGACGGCTGCGCCCGAGCCCGCCAACGGGCGGCGGCGGGAGCCGCCTGAGGGGACGAGGCGGCGGCCCCCGGAGCCCCGCGCTACCGCGGGCCCGCCAGCGCCCTGGGAGGGGCGAGGCGTCACGGCTCCTCTCCCCGCTGAGGTGTTGGGAGTCGGGTTGCCCCTCGCTGCCGGCACGGAGGTGCTGACGCGGGGGTGGGCACAGGGAGTCCGGAGAATATTCTGGGGAGAGCGCCAGTGGGGCTTGTGAGGAAGAGGTGCTGATGGCAGGAGTTTGAAGCTGGGGGGGCAGCTTTGGGAGTCATCTCACACACTGGGTTGCAGCTGAAGGGTGTTAGCTGGCTGTGGGGGTGCTGAGGAGCATGGTCACCCCAGTAGTGGGACTGGTCAGACTTCATTTTTTGAAGCTGAGGTGCTGACAAGTGTTTAGTGCACAATGACCTGGGCTTAGTCCTTAGACCTGGGTGGATCTGTGTGTGTGTGTTTTATCCCTTCTTGCTTAAGATTTCAAGGGATGGAGCAGTAATTGTGTAGGAATAATCCTAATGGAACTGGAAAAAAAAAAAATCCCAACTTTAAATTATCTTTCAACTTCTGCTTAAAACTTGATACTTCAGACCACTAACCACCACCAGCCCAGAGCATACAATTCTCAGACAGGGCTTACACTAGAGCTGCACTGGTATGCGGTTACTTCTCTCTCAGATGTTGATCAACGTGTTTGTCCTCCCGAACCCAGTTCTCTGAACTCCTACAGGGGGATCTTCCATATGCTATGAGCTTTGCTTCCTCATCAGCCCAAAAATTCTGTGTCTTATCCTTTACTAGGTAGCCAAATCCATTATTGAAGATTTAAGTGGCATTTCATATTGGTCATCTACACAGAGGACAAAGGACGCTTTGTAGAAGAAAATCTGTAAGACAGTAAAACAGATGAGTTGGGTTAGGGAATTGGGCAGTGAAATAATTCACTGAGAAAACACTAAGGCATTCTTCAGGAATTTACTTTGGGAATGTTGTGTGCTTCAGCCATTGGAACGAACTTTCCATTGAGTGGTGGTATTTTTAAAAAATCCTTAAAGAATTGCATATACTGAAAAAGAGACTTTTAATTTTGTATGGATTTGTTAATACATACCTTTATTATTTTTGTAGCATGGCTAGTTCTAATGTAATTTCTCCACAGTTTATTCCAACATTTTGATAAAGAATGCAAAGATTTTTCTTGGAAGATGCATCGTGAAATACAGAAAATGAGGGAAATTGCCCTTGTTTACCTTGACAGAAGTGGTGGCCTTCAGAAATTCGTGCACGATTGCAAAAAGTATAATGGTATTACTCAGTAGATAATTCTGTTGAATTGATACGTAACAGTACACAAATCTCATTTTTATTTAAGGTACTTTTTGCTCCTACAGACTCAAAACAAAGTTATGCTGTTTATCGTTTCATTATTTCAATAAATCCTTCTGATATTGCTGAATTAGATGCAACTCTTGGAAACTACATTCTTCATAGTCCCATGCAAGCTGCACAGATTTTTCAGTCAGTAAGTATATATATGTAGACAAGAGTAGACAACAGTACATCTTCTATATTTTAACTAGATTTTCCTTTCTAAAATGAAGCTATTTTCCAATTACAGGTATGTTTCATAGCTATTAAGACATTATCATTAATTGAACAATTGCAGACAGAGGCCCAGGTGAGTCTGCATTGTTTTCTTCCGTTTAGATCTTAAATCTTTTAAGCATGGTGAAGTATTAAAATACAAAAATAATACTTGTTAACTTTCCAGCTTTCATTTTCCCTTTATAGTATAATTTGTAATTAAAAATAGCTGGAAGTCTCACCCAACCATATTGCAAGAATTTTGAGATAATGAATATGAAACCTAATTACCCTTACACTTGATGAGTTTCTGAAATTTTTTTCTAATGGTATGTATCACATTGTGTGTCCACGTTAAGTAAAGCAGTTTTAAATAAATATTTTTACGGTATTGTTATTGTGTCTCTTGTTAGATTAGTATACTGCTGAAACCAACACATTTGCCACCTTTACCAAGTTACGTTCTGAGTCTTTCGGCATTTCCCTTTAACTATGCATCTCAAAGATTTTATATGTCTGAAGGAATAGCGATTGCAATGGGAACTGTAACAAAATATACCCAAGGAGCAAGATTTCTTTGTTCTGAGGAAACCTGTCCATTTTCTGAAGGTAGTGAAAAAAAAATCAGTACGATTTCAAAAGCTTTTTAATAATTTTCATACTTTGACAGAGATTAAAAATCTAGCACGAAAAAGGCGTTTTCCTATGCAGTCTTATTATACAGACATTTTTGTAATGAGCACAGCATGATTTTTTTTAATTGAAAGCAGTGGACCTTGCCAGTGGTTGCTCAGCACTGTTCAACGTTTGGGGAACATAGCTATGCCAGCAATCCATCTTCCTAATGCCAAAGATAGTTTATGAGTTTTATATGTTGTCAATATTATTTAATAAATTATCCAAAAGAAAGCAAGCTAAACTAGTAGAATACTTGGAAACTGTGTTTGTTGCTATAAAAATACTGCAGAACAGTATGCTTAAGTGACTGGCAAAAGCTTTTCCCACAGAACAAGTCTGCTTTAATGAGCAACTGACTCCTGTGGAACTTCTGAGTAGTATCACTGAAGTGCTTGTATCCTTGCAGGATAAAGGCCTTAAGTACTTTTAAGGCTGTTTTGTTTGCTTCCTGTAACAGACCATAAAATTATGAGAAGCAAAATCCCAAAGTTCGGAGACTGCAGAATAAATCATAATGATGTTTTTATGAGGGCACATACCTCGAATAATGAATATCCAGATCCTCTGTCGTTTCTACGCCAGGCAGGAGCGGCACTGCCTTGCTGCTGCTGCTGCTCAAAGCCCGGCCCAGCGGCTCTGCCTTGGAACGTGCAGGAGGAAATTCTGCCATCTCGTGGTCAGCCTATAATAAATTATACAGATCATTTTAGTGGAAGCATAGGATATTGAATGCACGCTCATCTGAAGGAACATGTTAAATTTGTAATTTCACTGTCCAGTACTTTAATCACTTTTATTCTTAATGGGAAATCTAAAATGAAAGCCTGACCTTGTTTTAAATGTTCAAGACTTTTTTTTTTTTAATTTATTTATTAATTTTTTAGGGTTTAGGTACATAAGGGTGCATCTGCCTGGAGCTACAGAATCTGCCACAGTGAGGAATGATTTTGTGTGTACTTTGTGTTCTTCGCCGCTGCAGGAAGACATGAAGTTCAGAGTACTTGGTGGTAGGATCTATGTAGTTTTTTTTAGATCTGTTACTTTCCTGCTTCTGCCACACAATAAGTAAATAAAACAGATAAGTGAAAAAAAACAAATACACCAGTCATTAAAAAAAAAAAAAAAGCTGTACTGTTTTCAAGAACTAACCTCTTCTTTGCCTTTATTCTGAAAGATAAACAAATAGTTGAAATGATTGACGCAAAAGTTCTTAATGCTTTGAAAGGATATTCCAATGATAAATCACATCTTAGGATTCAGACTTTTACAGTTTTCTTGAGAGGTAAGCTTGATTTTTGAGTTTTGTCAGAAATGCTTTAGAATTGAACTATAATAATCCCTTGCATTTTCCTCATAGGTCCATTTCTCTGGATAAAATGATGAAAGTAATAATTTGTATTGCAGTTCTTTAATAAAATTTTGGGGGAAATAGGTAGGTGACTAAACGGTACTACATCAGTGACTGAAGACTGCACATGGAAAAACTTCTATGTTCTCTTTCGTACCTTCATTTAAATAAAATCCTCTGACCAGCTCTGCAGTATTGCATTCTAGTAGCTTTTTTCCTTTTCTACTTCCTTTGGTTGTACTGCTTTGTACTAACTTCATGCATTTTTTTTAACATCCTTCCTCAATCCAGCTGTTTTCCCCATTCTATCAGGATTTTTGGCTTCTACTACCACTACCTTCCACTGCAACTGAGTGACTTTTAATGTGAATATCCAAATAAAATCACATCTCACCAACATACTTCCATTGTCAAAAAAAAACAACCGACCCTGCCATTCCAAAAGTCTATGGAATAACATGGTTAATTTCTTGAAAACTAAATAGAAAATAGTAATAAAACTCTAAAAATAATATAAAACAATCTTTGGGTGAGATACTGTGAATTATGCATGCATTAAATTTCCACTGGCTTCAGTGATGAGGTTAGGCATGGTCTCACAGCTGAGACTCATATTTGGTTGGACCTAACTTTCATTTCCAGAAAACAAATGTTTTGGTTTTTTTTTTTTTTTTTTGTAAAGAAATTTGTGTGTCTTTTTTAAATGTTTAAAAATGTTTAAAATTGTCTTTTTTTTTTTTTCCTGACATTTTGTAAGACAGTAACTGATAATGGTGTCATTGCAAGTTTCAGAGTAGGAACACATACTTGCAAACAACTGCCCATTTTCTTTATCAGGGATCTACTTTTCCTCACCCAATGTGCCATCCCCTTACCTTTTGCACTAAGTAATTAGCACTGTATGCTTCGCTTTTTTTAGTCCTTTATGGTGACCCTGGCATCCAACTGTTTATTAAATCATAAAATTTGAGCCATTCAGAACATGAAGAAAAGTTTTCTGAGCATGTCTGTAAAACTGTTTTTATGAACCTGCAGATGTGTTAGGGCCTCTTACCACCTCCACCCCCACCACCCCCATTTTTTAATTTCTAGATGAACTGGCCAATAAAATGAAGATAGGAAGCCACTACAAGATTATAGGAATTCCAGCTTGTGTACAGAATGGCTTACAAGCTACAGCATGTATAGAAGTCAATAGTGTGCAGCTCTGTAAACCAAATGGTAAGAAAGTTGCATTCAAAATTGATGAAAAAAGTTGGAAAACCTTTCTGAACAAAACCTTGAGAATTGGTGTGAGTTTTCTGTTATTTAGAGGCCCAGACTACAAAACCACTCTGGGACTTTTTCCTCTTACAGCCTGAAATGTATGCTTACTGTAATTTGAGAGTATCTTCTTTTGCCCACTTTCCATGTATTGGGAAACTGCCCAATTATTTGCTGCAGTTCTACAACTTTCCAACTCCTCCTACCCATTGGAAGGTACTCTGGAATCATACATTAAATGAACCTGATATTTCAGACTGTTATTCCTTTCTTACTCCAACAGTTTTAGCAGATCATGTCTGCTACCTTTTTAGCAGTAAAATTAATAGTGTCAGACATGCTGAATTTGTGCTTAATACATATTCGTTCTTTGTATGTTTTACATCAAGACTGGAATGGTGATTTGTTATATCTGCATAGCTCTTGTGTGAATCGTTCAGTAACCTGTACTTTGTTTTCATTAGGTCCTTCTTTTGTCAGTGACAATTTTAAGTATCTGCTTTCACTGACTTCGAGTTCGTGCTGGAGGTTTACCGCCATCCTTGCCAATATCTTTGCTTCTCAAGTTGTTCCACCAGGCACTTATAATACTCTTAAACTCGCAATACTGCTGAGTCTAGTACAGACGTGTGAAAAAGAAAACTCAGATTATCTGGATCTGTTGATTGTGACAAGCGACACACTAGTAATTGATAGGTAAAGAGATTCCTTATTTTTCACATAAATCAGAATAAAAACATGAATATTTTTAAAGGTAATAGGATTGGTCTTAACATGAAAAGCTAGAGACTGTATGTTAAAAGAATATGCAGGGCTCTGACTTGGTAAAAATACCCAATCTTTACCCCTGGGACATTTTTACTTATTTCAAGTGATAAATCCATCAGAACTTCACTAATAATAAACCCCCTTAACACTTTTATAAAGTTCTCAGTAAGATTTTAACACTAGCACTGTTTAGCAGAGCTCAGACAAAACATTCTTCTAAAATCAAAACTGAAGACTGTCCCAGGAGCTAGTAATGATAAAAGCAAAGGGCTCTACTTTCCAAATCTTGTGTCACTTTAAGCCTTTTCATCACCATTTCCAACTATCAGCATTTTCAGTTAATAAGCAGTTAACAATGTTAATAATAAGTGTTAATAATGTGTAAATATATACTTTCATTTTTATCACTTTGTCATAAAAACTATAAAGTATCAGAAGTCACGTACATCTCTACACACAGGTCATAAATCCAGCTGTTGTTGCCTTTAACAGATTATTTTTCTCTATTTATGCATTTTATATATTTGCCCCTTCACAGACCTGTAAGCTGTTAACAGTTTCACATACACTGCAGAAAAGTACAATATGCTCAGCTCTAAGTTTACATTAATTTAAACAAAATTACTTTTTCCTTCCCCAACTCAAAACAGGGCTTTTTATTTTTGAAGATCTTTGAAAGCGGCATGAATTTTGAGTGTTCTTCAACAAATTCTTTAGTATTTTTTGTTGTGGAAAAAAATACTTTTAACCATTTCAAAATTTAGATGTAGAAATTAGTTCAAATTTGAAAAATATGTGGGCTGCAGGATTTTCTTCCCCAGGTTAAGAGTAAGATTTCATAAGTGAAATCAGAGGAGCTGAGTGTCTTAAGAATCAAAACACCTGGTTAGTATCAGAACAGTTGCACACTGTAAATCTCAGTCAGTACTGTCATTTGTACTGTCTTGCATGTGCACCTAGTTTTTGTCAGTAGCCTGTCAAAGTAGGCATTTCCTATATCATATTTCTATTCATCTATTTACTAATTATTAATAATTATCTCCTGGTTAATAGTAGGATAAATAATGATTTGACATCTTAAAATCATTAGTAGCCTTTGATAGTGGAACCAGACAATTTGCAACCTCTTTGTGCCAAGGAACACAGTACAGGGGATGAACAAGAAATTCTACACCCACTTTCTCCAAAAGAACTGGGAGATAGGACAGAGCAGAGCTTGCAAGGTCCCAGCCTTCTCATTTTTCCTGGAAGGCCAGGATCACTAATCCTCTACCCTCTTAAATCACTGGAAGTTTCTTTAGAATAGAAGTTAACAATATAGGGTTAAATTATGAAACTTTTTTTGACTTCCTAGGAATTACTTCTATTGCAAACAATGATTTGCCTCATGGTAAATCCATAAGAAATACAGCCCTGTTGTCAGCTGTTGGAGAGAAGGCTTGGATTCTACCTTTGAATACAAAGTTAAACAATTAGTTTTGACTCTGGGTTTATGTTAATTTTTTTTTTTCCCCTAAGTGAGTCTTAATATATATAAGTATCATTTTAAAGTATTAGTGTTAAATTTTTCAAAAGTGAACAATCTAAAGATTTATGACTGACAGAACTATTTAATCCTCCAGGCTTCTGAATTACAGCATATGTCTTCTGCCTCGTGGCATACGACACCCACCTTCTGGTGAAATTTTTCCCTCTGTGTCCAAAGATAAACATGGAACTGGAAGTGCTAGTATTCAAGCCTGCAGCGCTGTGCTGGCTAAGGGTGGTATCTGTTACATAAGAGACTTATCTTCATATAAAAAGGATAAACTTGAGCTTCTACAGTCCGGTAATCTCACACCTCCTAATAAATGAGGGGACAGAACAAAACAAGCATGCAAATTCAGGGCTAGGTTTGTTCTCCAGCTTATGGCCCTCAAGTGCTATAAAAATCTAAGCTATTTTTAATGAGTCTCTGTAAGAAAGACAAAAAAGCCAAGGTCCTGTAAGCTTACATTTGCTACGCAGGCTACGCTACATTTGATGAACCAATACATAATCAGGACTGGTTTCAGATGGTGCATGTGAGACTAGAATTTGCACTTAAACTAGACTGATTACATAACTGATGTATTTTGCCCTATCCTAGTGCTAGAGAGCAGAACCACAACAGTATTCATCCCCGGGAAGAAGTACGGAGAAGAGGCTGACCAACAAGTTACTATTTCAGTTCAGACCAATTTTTGGTCTTTTGTAGATACAGATTCTTCCTCAAAGAAACAAATACAAAAGGATAACTTTTTAATTGGACAGATGGTAAAGCACATGCCTTTTTATGACAGTAACTATACTTTAGCAGTCATTTGTGTTTATGGTTATTTCAACTTATGAACTAATGAAAACAACCAAACTTGTTAATATTTCCCCAACAAGTTCAGTGACTTTAAATCAAGTATCTTCTAAAATGAGCTAGCCTTCCCCAAGTAGGTATCATTTATTTTATTCAGAGTAGCCTTTGACAACCACTATTGAAACGAAAGTTTTACTGCATATATTATAGGTAATTCATTAGATAATCTCACAGGACTCAGCATATATGGATATTGATCATTTCAGACTGAAAACACTGTGATATTTTTACAAGTCAAAAGGCCAAAGTAACTGTGTTCTTTCTCTGGGTCTTCGCTTTAGGACATGAGTTTGATTCCACCTAACCTTGTAGATGTTTTTGGGCTTTTGATACACAGTGAGTTTCCTTTGTGTCAATCATCTTCTCCTCTTGTACACCATATCTTGAAAAAAGCCATCAATCCTGAAGCCATGCTGTACAAAGTCTCACAGCAGTTCAGAACACAGGATTATGAGGAGGTAACGGGTACTACCCAATAATTTAGAAATGCATTATACCTGTGAATACCATACTGTTTATGGAATCAGAAGGTTCTCCACACATTGTGATTGCTTTTTTAAACCTGTTAATACTCACTTTCTACCCCTTGCCCCCACCAAATTCCCACTAGCACTAATAGGATCACTGATAAAATTAGCTTCAGTCCTTTAAAAGGGCCAGCATAGTAAATTCAGTTTTATCTTTTTTGTGAAAAACATACTAGGTGAACATTCATATGAGAACAGATCTCCAATACCTACTTTTGACCAGAACAGTTTACAATCAGTAGTAAAAGTTAATATTCCTTTCTAAATAAAGTGTCACTATCTCTGGTATAATTAACACAGCTGTTTAGTATCTGAGATCTAGCCTTATGCATAGCTGAATGGTGACAGCTGTCTTTGTTAAATATTTATAATGTATATCCTCTCTCTCTAGTTTATTTTGTTTGCCAAAAATCTTCATGTTGAACTGAGTGTGGAAGCTGAAAACCTCATTCAGGGCTACTATCTTGCAAGTCGCAGAGTGAGAAGAGATTCTATTAATGGATCAACATTATCGGCATCTGCACTAAAAATTCTGTATGTCCTACTCTCCACTGTAAAGGAAACACATCTGTTTCAAATAGAAATTATGCTAACCTGCTCAAGATCTCGTTAAATAAAAATCTATACAAGGCTCTTAAGTTTTGAAAAGTTCAAGCCTAAAGAATCTTATTTACCATTTATGAATACCATTTATTATATATATATTGCTATAACAAAAAGTTTAAATAACTTTTCCAGGCAAAAAAAGGTGATTTAAGAAACAATTATCACTATTGAAGCTATCTAGAAAAATGAGATTTAAATCATCACAGCTTTGTATTATGCAAGCAAAAGAAGTCCTAGCAGTAGATGATATGCCAAGTTCCACAGCTTTCATAGCACAAGTCAGTCATCCGTAACATGTACTTGGTCAGTGACAAGTGTAACTGCACAGTGTGTGTGGGAAGTTCACACAGCTCAGGCATGGAAAAACACCACTCTGGTGTTAACTTTCAAATTACAGAAGTGCTTGAAACAGAGCAATACATACTGCCTTCATGTCTGCAGTATTTTTAATGTCTGACATACTTATTTATATTCCTCTCTTAGGATTTCACTGTCTAAGGCTCATACTAAACTGAGTTTAAGAAAGAAAGTACGTGAGGAAGATGCACTGATTGCCATCTTGCTACTTGAATCATCTCTTACCCTAAAACATGGTAAACAATGCAATTAGCTTTAGTCTTGGGTACACTGTTTTCATATTTTGTCAGCTTGAAAAAAATTTCTAACAATTGACTGCAATAATAGCTCAAGTCAGAGTCCAGAATTTCCACTGGAAGACTGATATCAGAAAAGTCTTTCAGTTGCCTTTCCTGCAAAAAGTCTCAGTGCTGTACTGGCCACAGGCCAGCACCAACCCTCCATCCTTTACACCAGCTTATTCGAGGCACTGCTCCTCTAACATTGGTCCAGGTTAAACTAAAGACAGATTAAAGACAGTTTTCCTTCCCTGGGAAAGCAGAAAACAAGGGTTGGGTTCCCTTTTTTTTTGATCCAGCATCGCAGTCGCATTTGTTCAGACACAAATTTGGCAGTGAGACAGTAATTATGAAATAACACTTAAAAATAGTAACATACAAGACTGCATTATTAAGTAAGCTGTGTCACAGCTTTTTTTTCTTCAAAGTCCTGGCAAAAGTTTATCAAGTATTTTAGCGTAAGTCTTGATTTCTTCATTGTTTAGGCAAGTCTGCGTTATGCATTGCACCAAATCCTGTATTTCCATTTGACCTCAGTGACGAAAACTCCCTGCACCAGAGAGACAGTTACCTCATGCAGTGTCACCACCAACTGCTGAAGTTTATTGGGGCCTATGGCCCAGGAATTCACCCTAACACTAGTGAAGAGTGAAAACTCCACTCTGTAAGTAAAGCCTGAAGCTTTAGCTTTTTCAGAGACTGCAGTTAGAAATATACAACTAAGTATTTAATATTTTTGTAAGACAGTTTAGTGCTATTTTGCTAAGGAATAAAGCATAGCTGACAAGATATAATTACAAGTTTGGTGACAGTGTTGTTCAAAGGCAGCAATGATGTCTTCATCCTGGGAGGCCATGGCTTCAGAATAAAACCACGACCTGAACTTCTCTTCCTGGCTATCACTGTTAAGTGAGGAGTAAAGCAGGGTTTTTAGTAAGACTACAACTAACAAATAAACCAGGAGCTTAGAACATGTTTCATTTCAACTACGTAAACTCTCTGCAGTTTTTCTTGTTGCTTCTTTTTAAATGTATCACCCAACGAGGGATAAGTAGTTTTAAGTACATTAAAACTCTGTTTTCCCAGTGCAACCCAACTTTCTTAATTTATTCACGCTCTATATATTTTAAAAATGTATAAAAAGTATCCCCATACTGCTTGATGTTCCGCCTCTTAGTTTTATATTACAGCAACGTAGTGTTAGACCAGAATGCCAGTGTGCTCCTGCAATCTGAAAACACAACAGTATTTCTACATCACTTTATACAGACTGCAGGGGATAACAGAACCCTCGAGGAAAGTTAAAAAAAAAAAAAATGTTACACGAGGACCTGGTAGGCAGGCAGCTCAGTGAGCTCAGTGTTACCTCACTGTAAAAACAAGTGTAAAGAATGGTGTGGTAAAAGATGAGGTGTCTGAGATACAACATGCTTCTCCAGATACACTTCCCTGTATTTTTATCCTCCTAGTAAGGATACAGCAGTGGACATAATACTGAGCAAGTATTACATCCAGAAGGTCGGTGTTAGAAGAGCAGCAGAAAATTGCATGGAGGTCCTGTCAAACCTGGACAAGCTGAATACCGAAGGCTTGGTGTGACTCCCACCCAGCATGACATCCAGCAGGACCATGGTGCTGCTGCTCTCACAGCCTCAACAAAAAACTAGTATCACTGAAAACACGAATCCAAGGCTTTATTCATACACACACATTGCCTTGGTGAGAAGCAGAAAAGCTGCCACCACTAACATGGTAAACACTCATTCAGACAAGATAACGCAAGTTTTCCTACATGTGTTAACCTTTGGTTTACTCAGTGTTGAGCAATTTGGTATGCTTAAATATTGATACTGTTCTAGGAGTGTCCATAAGGTCACTTCACCTTCTAGAGTGACATTCCCACCTGAACTTCATTTGAGGATTATTCACACATTTTCACTAAACAGCTACTCCCCTGCCTTACCATCAAATCAAGTAGTATTTGAGGAACAGGAAGGGCCACGAAAACATTTCCAAGTGCATGCGAACTCCACATTTCAGGCTGCTGTTTTCAAGCTAACAACAAAACAAAATTACAAAGTTAGACAGTTTTCTGTACCTTTAATTAATCTTATACAGAGTTATTAACTTTACTGGCATTTCAGATTCAAAGATACACATCAAAAACAAGTCAGATGGGTAAACGGCAATAGTTTCATCATTATGCCAGCAAAATTACTTCTAGAATAGACTTAAACAGAATTCCTTTATAAATCACTATTTTTGACAAGCAGTATTAAGCAATGTACATCCTTAAAAAAAAAGAAAGCCTTTCTGCAAGAGTGCAACTTTTTATTCTTACCTCTCCCCTGTTTCTTCTGTGATGTTTTAAGCAAGAATGAGAAGATTAGTGGCAGTACCACAAGTAAGGACAAAGTCACTCATCCAAAAGGGTCCCCACTAACGGGCCACACCTTCAGCTGATGGAAGCCAGCACAGCCCCAGGCAGCAGCAAATGTGGCCAGTGCAGGCCCTCACCAAGTAGCCATACAGCTTACTGCAGCCTGACTAGTGTCGTATCACAGTAAAAAAGCAACTTACCTTCTCAAACACCCACACTTCTACAAGTGGATGGAGTCTGCTGTTGGCTGCATGTGCATACATAAGGCTCGAGGACAGTGGAGAAGGTTGACTGATGACATAGCACCTTCAAAATAAATAAAATCGGAAATTAAAGTAGTAAATCAAACTGGAAAAATCCTACTAATTAGCTGGCACATCAGATACAATATTGCTCATTAGAAAATTCAGCTGGGTCAACAGCAAAGTGCGATCATCGTGCCAGAAAAGTTTCCTGCCTGTGATAAGACTGGCTTAATTTTTTCCTGGTGCCAAACACAAAGGCACTTGTTACGTTTGCCTCAAGAGATGCGCTTCTATAAAGCAACACAGCCCCTTGGTTTTAACTGTTAAGCCCAGAACAGATTCAGTGTAGCCAGGAACATGAGAAAAAAGCTCCTGGGCACAAACATTTAGGTCCCTCCATGTTGTCACATTCAAGCCCCAGATGCCAAGTGTCTTTCCAGAGGCAAAGCTCGCTGCCAGTTGTCCTTCCCCCTGGGCCGCATTGCTGCAGCCCGGTACGGTAACGTGCCGGCAGGGCCGGCGAGCTGAACCCACTGGTCTTCACTTGCGCCTCCCACTTCCAACTAGCACCTGTTAATGCTTCAAAGCAGAAGCCTTGTTCCTGTCCCCAGTTGAAAACCAGAATCTCTGATACCGTTACAAACCTCTCCCCTCCAATTCCTTCAGGATCCATGGATTGCTGCTGCTTTGTTCTGGGGAGCAAGTCTTGTGAGGTTTTATAGCTGTCGTAATACCTCTTGTTAGAATTTCAACCTCTTGACCTTACATGCAATTGTATTTCTCCTTGCTTCATCTGTAACAGAATTTACAAGTCATAAACAGCCTTGGAACTCTAGATCTAGCTTTCGGGAAGCTTTCCTCAACATTTTTAAACCCAGTAAGAAATAATTACTTCTGTAAGCTCCAGAATTCACGTGACGTCTTTCCACTGGCAGGGAAACAGCATGGCAGACTCCAGACTGATGACTCCCAGAGCCCGTAACAAACTCATCTCTTAATTTCACTTGCTGCCTAAAACCATGAAAAAAGAGGTTACATTTGGAGAACTCCACTGCTGAGCCAGCAGCAGAAACCACCACCACTCCCTCGGGGAAAATACACCAGTCAAAGAAGCACGAACCTCCTGGGCACCCTCGTTGGTGGCTTTATCATTTGTTACCAGGGAGAAAACTAGCAGGCAGCATCAGCAGAGAGCAAGGTTAAAGAGGCCTGACCACTTAACATAAAACCTAGCATGAAGAACAGCTGATCACAGGGCAATTCTGCTGCTCCTAGGGAGGGAGCAGCCACTGCTGGGGAGGGGAGTACCCCAGCAGGGTACAGCCTTTAACCCCAGCTCCCAAACCACGCTCTGGGGAACTTAGGGACGTGCTTTCCCTTCGGTTAAGGTCAGCACTCGTGCCACGGCCCTGGCAGCAGAGCAGGACTGCAGGGACTGCCGAGACCCCCAGGGCCCTGTCCCTGCCAGAACCCACCACTTTAGATGTGTGTCTAACAACCCTAACAGGGCATGGTCAGGGTCAATATCCAACACCTGCCACATCCCCCAAGGGGGAAAAAAAGGTAATTTATCTTTAGAATTTAGACATGCATTTGCCAATGAAAATGTTTTATCAGCAAAACCGTCTCTTTGGACACCCCTATCTGTCTGTTGCTTTGCAGACTTGACGAACCGAGGTAACTCACTTGCCAGCAGAGTGGCACATACTAATTGGGTCCATCTCACCTCCCCGAAGCCCCCCCACGCCCCGGGAAGGCCAGCGTGGCTAGCGAGCCCCCCCTGAGCCAAGCCGCCCCAGCAGCCGGGCTCAGGCGGCTGTGGGTGCAACCCAAACCGAGACGCGGCTCCAACATCGCGACAGTCGCGCATCTTTCAAGTGACGGGTAACGCCACATAGCGACAGTGCCAGCGACCCATCCCTGCATTGTTTTGAATTGTCAGAACTGGGGTTTGTTACGTTAAACGCTAGGGGATAGTTCCAATTCCTCTGAAAAAAAAAAAAATCCGAACTTACTCTACTGTGTAGGCGAGCGCGTGCTTGGGCCGAGGGGCTGCTGCGAGGGGGCAGCGGCGCCGAGCCGGAGGCCGGGCGGCTCGGCCAGGCCCGGGCGCCACCCAGCGCTGCGCCGCGGCCGACGGGGCGCGGCGCCCCGAGCTACCGCTCCCAGGGCGGAGGCCGAGGCACGCACGGGGCGGCTCACAGGCCCAGGAGCCAGCGCACAGCGGCAGCCCCGCCGAAAGCGGGTCCCACAGCCGCACGGTCCCCTCCCCGCCGAGGCCCGGGGCGGCGCCGCCACCGCGCCCGCTCCTCAGGGGCGCGGAAAGGCCGGGGCCTGCCGCGCGATCCCCTTAAATACGCCGCGTGCCTGGGGGCGGGGAAGGCGCGCGGCGCTTTCCGCCGCGGCGGTGCCCGCGCCGAGCGCGCATGCGCAGGGTCCCGGTGCCGGGGTCCCGGTGGCAGCGGGTGGGGGGGGTCGGGCCGTGTCCCCGCCCCACGCCGTGTCCCCGCCCCACGCCGTGTCCTCGCCGTGTCCCCGCCTCCCCCGGCGCCGTCCCCGGGGAGGCCTGAGGGCGCGTCCTGCCCCTGTTGAACGTTCCGTGGCCGCCGTTCCGGCGCTTTCGCGGGAATTCGGGCGGGAGAAGCCGGCGCGTGGTTTGGGCAGCGGAAAATCCGCGGTGGCTTCGCTGGTGGCGAACTGGAGCGCGGAAGGGCTGCGCGTGGGGCCGCCGCTTCTGGAGGGGTCTGTCCCGGGTGGGTTAAGGGAGCAAACGCGGCTGCTTGAGGCGGGAGCGCGTTCGCCGCTCCCGGTGCCCCGATCGCGCCCGGGCGGTCCTAGTGAAACCCGGCGTGTTCAGCCTTCGAATGCTTCGGCCCTCAGTGCACAGCCAGGCTTTTGGAGCTCAAAGCCGTCGAAAATTCCCCTTTTGGGTGATTATTCGTTGTTTTACACAAGCACAGTGAATGCTTTGTCCTAAAGGTCTCTAAGGGAAAAGGGAGTAGTTGGCAGGGTATGTACTAAGAGAAAGCAATGTATGACTGGAGGGCACAGTATTGTAGTTACAGCTGTGTGAATGAGGGGGAAAAAAAAAAAAAAATCTGTTTGCATCAGGCTTTGCATAGACAGGTTATTTGCATGGGGCTGTGTGAAGTTTACCTGTCCCATCCCTCCGACGGAAAAGCCGTGATGACAAGAGCCGAGGTTTGCCAAGATCCTTAAGTTACTCCATGAAAAAAGGTTCCGATAGCAATGTGTGAACACTGTAAAATTTTATTCCTAAATGTATGAATATTTCCAGTGCCAAATGCCAAACTGTTGTATTTCCGTATGTGAGGCTGTGAACTGTTCCTGGGAAATGTAACACTGGATTCAAACACCAGGTTTGAAACAGATTCAGAGGATCTGTTTTGACCCCGGTGTACATTTCTGGAAGACAAGAGCCCTTGCGCTGGTCAAAGGAAGTGGGTTGCCTCACCTGCCCTCTTGGCGCTGGAAGAAAAGGCATAAAAATTCGCAGCTGATGCAGAATAATCTGTCTCCAAAAATTCCAAACTCGTAAATACGGGGAGTTCTTCTCAAGTGACAACCTGCTGTTGTAATTCTGCATAGTCTTACTGGCTTTTAATACATCTATAAAACGGTGCTCAAGTCTTTACATTGCCTCGTATGTGACCACAATTTAAGCAAGTGTTGTGGCTGCAAAGTGGCTCCTGTGTTTGCTGCTCCATTTCTTTGGCTGTCTACTAAGCAACACTCTACTGTAGTAAAAGTCTGAGTAGAGATGTTTTCTCCGTGCCATCCGTCACTTTCCATGTTTTTAACCCTTACTCATTTTTCATGCTTACTTCATGAATAAGCAGTCAGAATCTTTCCATTTAATGGAAGAAGACTTCAAAACCTGGGGGGGTAGGGTTTCTTTCTTTTTCTTTTTTTCCTTTCTTGAATTCTGTCCCTTCCAGATGCATCATTTAAGAGCCTGTGAAGTAACCGGCACCTCCGCGCTAGGTAAGAGCGTGCCATTGATGCAAAACATCATCGCATTTTGTGTTTTCCCCGCGCCACTCCATATGCATGACTCGCATGCGCTTTGTTTTTATTATCAAACTGCTGCTACTCAGCGGCCGCTCGGGGCTGGACGCTGGCTTCTGCCCCGAGATTTCGCTTGCCCATTTCCCCCTCACACGATGTCGTTCATTCAGATCTCAGTTACGTACAAAACCCAGGAATTCTCGGTGCTTCTGTGTTGCTACTTGGCCTTTTGTTTGCCTGAAGTGTAACCTGCGCCTCACGCCCTCGCCCTGCACGGCGCCGCACTCCTGGCAGCCCTCAGTGTTGTGTCACTCCATCTTAACTACCGTCACCTTTACAAACCCCTTCACACCTCCTCACTGATAAATCGAAATACAAATAGCTGTCCCAGTAACAAGAGGTTGTGCTAACCCACTTTTTGTTACTATGGAAAGTCAGTCTGACTCTTTTAATTACGAGTACATACTTTTCTATGCAAAACTGCCCATTTGTACATATTTTTGCACAAAATACAATAGTTTATGTGGTTGAATGGTGCTCTGGCTCTGTAATTCTCAAAATAAACCGCTTATAATTGTAAATAAGAAATAGATGTGTAAAATACTTTCAACACGTATAAAATACATATTTAAAGTATTTTTACTGTTTAAAAAAATAAGCTTATTAAAAGCTCAGAATGCTGCAGAGGTAGAGGGAAGTGTCCACCATACTTTATAACTCTCACATATCCTAGGTGGTTTGTCCAACTCTTTCAATAAATGGCTCTGCTAATTTTTTATACACTTTCTTATACCAGAGGCCTGGTCTTCTGTGGCACTGGACACTCAACCTGCACTGACAGGCTCAGCACCTCTGGAAGATGTCACAAGCTTGATTCAAGAATGAAAACAAAAGTTGGTTGTTTTTTTTTTTGAAGGTTGTTCTTGCTAGTATTTGTGTTTTCCTTTTCTGTCCAATGTCACTTGAAAATGTAAACTGTGAAGAAGTTACTAAAAATGCAGACTATTACTATGAGAAACTATCAGCCCCGTACAATGAGAAACCAGTTCAGCTTTTGCAACTCAATACGTAGTTCTCAATGAATGATATTTAATAAAATGTCTACCTCAGCAATAACAAACTATATGAGAAGTACAGTGGTTTACAGAACAGACACATCAGATGGCGTTTGTGCATTTAGTTTCAACTTTTCTTGCCTAAATATAGAAGATGTTTAAGTGAAAAACGTGCTATGAACAAGCCAGCACTTGGGGCTCACTTCCTTCAGTGCATGAACCCGCTAAAAGACAGCAAAAACAAACCTTGGTATCCCGAGCAGACAAGGAGTTGTACCGGGGTAGCACCCAAACACATTTTAAACCCCATAACATGCAAACACGATTGCCCGGATCAATACAAGCGACACGTAACGTGCAGAGCCGGTTGTGTCGGGGGTGCGGGGCGCCGCGCGGGCCGCAGGCCAGATTTCGGCACGTTTTCGCTTGAGGTCAGCACGCGGCCACGTTTTGAGGAGCAGCTCCGTACACTTCAGATTATCGGAAGGCCGAAGCCCTGACCCGGCCGCTGCGGTCGGTGGGGTTTCTGCCGTCGGCTTCGATGCAGCGAAGAAAGTGCAGGCGGGGTTTCGACCACTATTTCTAGCCGTGCCCTTTGGGGTTACTGATGGTGCCGCTGCGGCAGCTGCCCGCTCCTCTTCCCCCCCCCACTCAGATCCCACCAATGTCCTCTGACAGAAACCAATCATGCGTCACATTAGCTTAATGAGGTATCAATGACATTTAAGAATCAATTCCTTCTCCTCTACAAACAGTATTTCAGGAATTAGCTTGCCTGTAGATACTATTTTTTAACTTAAATAGATATATATAAGGTGTAATAAATATCTCTTTTTTTTTTTTTTTAAAGCGAGAAGGGAGATTAGGTTTGTGAAGCTGTTGATGTTTCTCCTTGGTTTGCGCCGTCTCCTTGTGCCGAGTGAGTCAAAAACTGTCCTGTAGCTCCGATGTACAACCTGGAACGCATCGGCCACTTCTGCAAGAGAAGAGACAAGCGCAGCGCTGAGACACCCGGGGTCTGCAGCCCGAACGCAGCTCCCAGCAAAGCTCTAAGGGTGGATGGGATCACAATATGAGAAAGTAGGAAGCTGCTGCTATTACCAGAAAGTTCCCCTTGCGTGATTTGTCGGCAAATGTTGTTAGATGCTGGGTAAGGGACCCTCCGCCTGGATATTTTATTCGGTAGTTAATCGCCAGGCACAGCTCCCACACCCTGCTGTGCCCCCGCAGACAGGAGCAGGCCACGCCGCTCCGCCATCAGACCACTATTTGTGCAGCAGATGCTCTGTTGGTGGAATAAACCAACGCGTGCCCCTTTTTTGGTGCCAGGGGTGCCATGGGGCTACGCACCCCCTCGTGCCGGCCGGCCCCCGCAACACCGACCGCCGCCCGGCGGCTGCCAGGACCTCTGGGTTAAAGGGGATTTAACATCAGCGCGCCCCGGCGGTCGTCAGCGCCGACAACTTCTTGCTTTTTGTCAGCTCCAACGATTTCAGATGAGACGACTCACCTTTCCATCCACCGGTTACTGCAATCCTCAGTGGCACTGGTGTTGAGTATTTCTTCTTACAGCTCAGGTTTAAGCCGAGCAAGTCACTTAGTGCAAGCGGCCCTGCGGTGAGGGCGGCCGCAGCTGGGTGCCCTCCTCCTGGGAGGAAGCATTCGGCTCCAGCTGGGTGTGCACAGTGCATTATTAGAGAGGCGGAGGTTCGAAAAGACAACTTGTCATACACATCCGATGCAAAAATACCCAAACCGCAGCCAGCACGTTGTTCCAAATGGATATGATTTTTAAGACACTTTTGGGAAGAGGCTGGCACCTCTCCTGTGAGTAACAGAAGGCAGCTCTAGAAACCAGAGGGGCTTAATACTGCAGTTCAATCTCAGCTCTTCTATTTAAAGACATAAAGCAGCAGCATATTCTCACTTGGAAAGACTGCATGATCTCATTCAATACGTCTTATTTCAAGAGTGTTGTTAAAAATTCGTCACCAATAGGACATCTGAGTCATTAACCGTATTTTCTGTTCGGTGTACACACACCTGTACGTGGATATTTTACTTTCCTCAGTATTTGTATTTACTGTGCTTGATATACGAGTGTAGTTAAAGTCCTTATCTGTACTGGTTGCCTCACATCCTGCACTTCAGGGTTTTTTTTTTTGAAGCATGTACTGTGATTTGTCCGTGACACTTTTGTTCTAGTGCCAACTAAAAAATTAATTTACTACCAGAAATATTTAGAAAGATTGGTTAGACTCCTAGAATCTTTACAAAACTAAATACAAGCAAATGGCACATAAATAAGATTATAAAAAATAATTGCTAGATGAATCCGGTTTTGCTGTATTCCAGGAGCTGGGAAATGAGCATCTGGATCATTTAACTGCTGTAATAACTATTTAAAAGTATTTTTCTGCCAGTAATAGTTGGCAGCTGATAAAAAGTACCGTAAGAGACCTGTGTCCTTTCGCTCTGGCCAAGGGAACCAACGGAAGCTACTTAAAACTTACTTTGAAATACATCACAATATTTTTTTTTCTTGAATTATAGCTATCTTCTAATTGATGTAAAGGTTTTGCTTTCTTAATGAGCCTGCTAATCATTTAAATGGCCTCAGAAGCCTGTGTTCATACCACGCCTTTTCCAGCGACCAACACTGTGAACAAGAAACTCTCTGTGAATTAGTCACTTTATAGGAATTGGAGGTTACTTCACAAATTAATCTTAATTAAATCATTCGGAATTCATCAGACTCTTAAGAAAAACACCCCGGTGCTCTCACTCGCTCCCTGAGACCAGAGCCAAAGAAAACACCCCGTGGTATTTGAGTCCCGTCAGTCTCCGAGCAATGCGTCCGAAACCCGCCTGCCGCCCCAGCTCCTCTCCAAGAGCAGCTCCCCTCACGCCCCCCCGGCAGCGCTGCGAGTCCTTTCGGACGAAGGGAAGGGCGCCTACCAACCCGCCGAAAGGGAAAGCACCTTCACAGAAGGAACGAGCACCCGGCCCAGTAACGAGCATCACCTTTCCGCACCTGGGCTGCCCCGGCAGGAGCGCCAACGCAGGCCCTGCCGGGGGACAGCGCGTCGCCCCAACCACCCACGGCCGGTCCCGGCGGGTTTGGCGAGGGGGGTCACCAGCGTCTCCAGGCGGGGACTTGAGGAGGTGCTGGTGCTCCCCTGGCGCTGCCCTCCGCCTTCACTGCCAGGGCACCCAGCCCCGCTAGGCTTGGGCCCACGCTGTATTTGATGATTTTGCACAGAGGGCCTGAGGCTGGAGGGAACAGAGCCAGGGAGCTCCTGCACGTTTCCATCAGGCCCCCACCGCCCAGATGCATCGTTAGCCGAGGCAGCCTCTTCACGTATTAACTCGAGCAAGGTAAATAAGCTTGAAATCTTTAGTTACATCTAAGTATCTTTACCACCCGTTTACTTCTTCACCGCGAGAAGGTGGTAGCTGCCCCTCAGCACTCCTACCTTGACAGGGTGGAGGTATCCGTCCCCTCGCAGGGTACCCAGGCCCTCTCCCGGCGACTCCTCCTCATCCTGAAGGCTGCGAGTGAGGTGTGCGATGTAGGTGGTGGCCAGGAGGAGCACGTCCAGCTTGGAGAGCTTGGTGTCGGGGGGCACGGAGGGGAGAGTCTTCTGCAGCTCGAGGAAGGCATGGCGCAGGGTTTGAACCCGACTGCGCTCTCGGGCGGCGTTAGCGGCGGCGGGCCTGCCGGGGGGCGCCCCGGCCCGCGGCCCGGCCGCCGAGGGCGGGCAGGAATTGCTGCCCGCGGCGGAAGGCAGCGGGGAATCGGGCCCCGAGCCCGGGCTGGAGGCCTTCTCGCTGCTCTCAGCTGAGCGCCCACAGTCCATCGGTGACTTCCCCGGCAGCGAGGGGCCTGCGACCAACAAGAGGATCTCTCAAGCCAGCCGCCACGCTGCGCCCGGGCAAACGCTTTCTACAAAGATTATCAGCAGTGCAGGCACTGCCCGTGCCGCAAAGAGCCGGGGTGCAGCTGCCCAAGCTGCTTTTCCACACGCTGCTTATAAATTTGTTATCACTCACAGGTACAGAAACAGAAGTTAAACTCTTCACGAAGATTGCTATTTGATTTTTTTTGTTTGTTTGCTTTGGACAGTATTACACAAAACAAATTTTTTGAGTCGCTCGCAGCCCAGAGATCACTGGCTGAGAAAACCCAACAGGCAACGCTGAGCAGCTGTGCCACGGTGGTTTCCTTTTACAACCAGCTAAAAATGAGACTAAATGCGATTTTTAAAACATATTATTTGTATCATTTGAGATGTGGGACTGTCAGGCTTTTCTGTTTAGCTGCAGTCATTTTATCGACAGTCTTACAGGTACTCCATGGATTACAGAAAAAAAAAAAATACTATTTTCAGATGCAGCAGTGAGTGGAGCCACAGGGCACGGCACTGAGTTTTTGAAGGGCTGAACTCGGTCCATGAATTTAAAGGATCAGGAACCGACTTCTCCTGTCCTCCCCCCTCAATGTTACTCAAAATTTTCCGTGCTTATCCTTTATCACCTACATTTTCAAACTTTAAAAGAATCTTCTAAGCTGTATTTTGGCCATTGGGGACCAAGAGAACTTTTTGAAAACAATGGCAAAAAATTTCTTTTGAGTCAAGCTTCAAATAATGCTCACAGCATCTTTTCCCAACTTTCAGAAAAGACGGTGATTCAGCTCTGCCTGTAATAAAACTGAGTCCTTTAATTCATTCAATTCCACTGTAAAATGCAATTCAATCAATATTCCCCAAAGTGCAGCACTTTTTAGCTAGGATAATACCTGATCTTGTTGTGCTCAGTCAAGGAGCCCTTCTAGGTGTCTCAGCCCCCGGCTTTCACGTGTTGGGAGCGGCTGTTTCTGTGACGGCCCAGCTGGACAACAAGGGCAAGAACAACTTAGATTAAAACTTTTAATTTAATTCAAATACTCTGCAGTTTTAAAAATGTAAATAAAACTGATGCACGTAAATGACTACAGATCTAAATCTACAAAAATTAGGCCTGGATTTTGCAAAGCATTTCAACCACAGACTGAAATCCCACTGATGTCCCTCTGTCACTGTGACTGATAATGGCAAACACCCCAAGACAATGAACCAAGTCAAAGATTTCTAGCAGAGAGGAGGAAAGATTTCTAAATAATCCCTCTTGCCGTGCTCTAATTTCAAGGTATTTAGAAGTCATTATTATTTTGAGTGTTTTATCATGATTAATTTGCCATTAATCAGGTTTTATCAGGTAACCTTCTCTTAAATAGTAGCCCAATGTAGACTGAAATTATCTGTGAAATACTCTGTGTGTAATTGTAAACCAAAGGGGAAAAAAAAAATCTCATTATTCTTTTTTATTGTGACCAATATAAAATAAAACTCACGTTTACATGAGCTTGTCTTGAGTGAGGGCTGAAAAATGGTCCTTAAATTGGCTATTTTCTTTAATCTAAAATAAAACAAATACATCTCATATGCTTTTTTTTATTATTGGTATTTTCTCGTTGTGCTAAGACAGTCAGATCTGGATGCATTTTAGTAGCAAAAAAAAAACCCCAAACATCATTATTGCTACTGCAGAGCCAAAATAATCACGAAAACTAGCAGAATGGTCTGTCGGTTTATGTCTATCAGCAGGATTTCTCATTTGCCATCCCACTGAAACGAGGAAGTCTTCCCTGATTACTGGAAAAGTCTGAATTACCCAAGGATACAGACAGACAGACTGGGTCAGTATAAATACCTGCTCATCTATTGAAACACAGGACAGGAAATCAAAATCACGGTTTTTGATTTTGCTGTGTTGGTGTATAACCAGATTTAGAACTAGGATGACTTTGCATGACATACAGTAACATAGAAATGCACGTACCTAAAAACCTCATTTCCTTGGGCACTCCTTGAAGTAGGAGTTTCTGGTTTAGGAGCTTCACGTCTACATCTGATGAATTTCTGGGCCTACAGAAAAACAACAACAACAACAAAAGGCAAAATTTCAGCTGTGGAAATGAGAGATTTCACCCTGAATTAATTTCTTCACCATCAGGTTTCCTAACAAATACATACAGCAAATGGCCCGGGGAAATTCACAGAATGCAGAAACACGGGATCTGCTGTAGGTCTGTACGTGTGTCCAGCCAAAACACGGCGGTTCCTGAACCCAAATCGCGTTTGTTATGCGCTGGGGCTGGGCAGCATCACTCTCCACGCTGGTGCTCGGGGTGCTGCGCGCTCTGTAAACCGGGGAGCCACCCAAACCTCCCGGTCCGAAAAAACCTATTGCTGAAAACTTAAGAAAATGCCTCCGGGCAACAGCCAGTTTCCATATAATCTCCTTTAAAATTTCACGAGATAGAGGTTTGGTTTTTAAGATGATTGCAATCATTTTTGCAAACACTCAGTTGCTGCCGGGCATGCAGACAGACCTCGAAATGGGGGTGTGAAAGTTTTATGTTATTTCTAAAGCACTTCTACTGCAGTATGTGTAATGCCGAGAGATGCGTTTGTGTTCTTCCGTGGCATCACAAAGACATAATCGCTTCGAAAGCGCATTAGTTTAACCAAAGAACACAGCACAGCGCTTATTTCAGATTTTAGCCCTGTATTTCGCGTGAATGAAACGGCGACGGAGGCAACCTGCCCACAGGGACAAGATCGAAAACGCCAGAGCAGAGCACGCCGGCTGAAAAGAAATCGGTGGAAAGCTTAGATAAACTTCTTCGCAGCCTTGTCAGTAGTTCCTTGCGGGGGAGGGGGGGGAATATAGTGAATCTATAGCATTTTGCATCGTTTTGAAAGAGACCTCGCCCTCTGCGCAGCAGTTACCGAAAACGCTTTCCCCGGAGCAGCGAAACAGGACGGTGCCCGCGGGCAGCCCCGGCGGCTGCGGCTGCTGCGCCGCCCCCCTCGTCCCGTCCCGTCCCGTCCCGTCCCGTCCCGTCCCGCACCCCCCGGACTGAACTCACCGCTTCCCTCCCGGCGCGGCTCAGCCCGGCGCAGCCCCCGGCCGCTCCGGCCCCCGTTTATAAAGCGGCGCGGCCGGTGGGCGCGGCGGGGCTGGGTCGTACCTGGCCGCTGGCCTCCCCCCCCCCTCCAAATATCCCGGCGGTAGCGACCGCCCCTTCCCGGGCGGGCGGGTCATTAATCACGGAGCTGTCGGGGGGCAGCATCGCCTCCCGCTTCACCGCCTCTCCCCCCGCCCCAAACCGGCAGCGGCAGCGCCCGGGGGGCGCCCCCGGGCTCCGTGCGGGCCCCGCCGCGGGCCGGGGCGGAGGGAGCCCGCCGCGCCGCGCCGCCGCTCGCCATGGACGCGCTGTTTTTCTTAGGATAAAGTAACGGTTTTGCTGGAGGAGAGTAATTTAATCGCTGGGCTGGGAGCTCAGGCGGGGGGGGGGTGTTGTTGTTAAAAGCGAGTCCTTTCTCTCCGCTCCGTCGCCCCGCGGGCCGGCGGGTTGCGAGGGGGACGGACGGACGGACGGTCGGTCGGTTCCCCGGACCAGGCTCCGTCCCGCAGCCGCGGGGGGAGTGGGTCGTGGCTGCCCGGGCGCCTCCCGTGGGGGACAGACCCACACGCGTGGGTTTAAGCGCGGGGTGGAGACACGAGGGGGGATGAGGCGCGACCGGGCGGGCAGAGGAGTGATTTAAAAGTGAACGGGGAGCAATTAAAAATTAGTAACGCTAATGAGAAGGGACAGTTAAAATAAATACCGGGGGTATAGAATTAGCCCAGAAAAAAAAACCATTTTGAACGAAGCCTGATTGTGCGATAACAGAGACACAATAAATCAAGCCTCGGGAGCAGTAGAAAAACAAAGTCTGAGCGATTCGTTACCGGTTCTGCAGCCAAGAAAATTAAGGATTTAAACTTCGGCGATAATTGGAAGTCCCGGGAAGGGGTGATTTAGTGGCGGGAGGGACGGGGGGCGGCCGCTGGGCCTGGGGGGGGGGGCAGGGAACGGGCGAGCCCGTCCCGCCCAAACGCTCCGGCCCGAGTGTTTCACACCCGCCCGGCGCTGAGGGAGACGAGCGGGAGCCGCGGCCCGGCCCGGCCCCCGCCGGCCTTCCCGCCCCCGGGGTGGCATCCACAGCCCCGCCAGGGCCTGGGGAGGGCCGGCCGGCGAGGGGTGCTACGGGGCTGGCTTAAAAGAGGTGAATTTAAGTCCTAAAACCGAAACCGTGCCTCAACATTTACCTTTGCCTGGCGCCGGCTGCCTCGGCGGGTGTGTGTGTGGGGGGGTGTGTGTCCCTTCTGCTCTCGGGCGTTACTGGGACAACAGCAGCTCTGTCAGGCTGTGCCGGGCCGGGCCATCGGGCTTCCCCGGTGCCCAGAAGCGGCTCCCAGGAGCGAGGCGGCGGCATCTCCGCGCAGCCACCCTCGCAGCCCGGCCCGCCTTTCAGCCCCGGGGTTTGCCTCCAGAGCGGCGGAGCGTTGCCGAAACCTTCCTGCCGCTAAAAAATTTACCCTCTTAGAAATTCACTTAACACCTCCCTGCTCAGCCAGCCCCCCCGGGGCTCAGACAAGCACTGCTTGAACGCATCCTTAAGCTTACACACTGAAAACACCCTGGCGTGACACCGCGGCCGGCCTCCCCCGGGGAGTGGGGCCGCTCGCCCCCATCCCCGCTTCCCCTGGGGCTCTCCCTTTCCTGCTCTAATTGCCAAATGCGTGCCGGCTGGGTCCGGCACGGCAGCCCGGGGGCAGCTCTCCCGTAGCCCGAGGAGGTGCCCCAGCTCCGCCACCCAAGCGGTGTCTGCTCGAGCAGGCCTCGGGCCCTCAGCCTCGGGCCCTCAGCCGCGGTGTTAGGGCGAGCGGGGGCAGCGACAGCCGGGGCTCTCAGCGGTGCGTCCGAACTGCCCGGGACTTCCCGGCCACCCTCAATTAGCAGCAGATCAGGGGCGCCGTGCTCTGCTCTAACGTAATTAATGACACAAAATTATGTTTTTTTTTTTTGACTTTGCCACTGACACACACTGAGCTCAGCCTCGGTGTAGGAAAGCCAGCGGGAGGAGCTGGAAGAGAAGTGGTGGAACCCCCATTACCATCTTTTGACAACGCCAGCTCCAGCTTGCTGCAGGGTGCAGTTAGAGATTGCACAGTGAGATTTACGAGCAGCATTTGCAGAGACCACCCTGGCTGCTAACACTGTTAGCAAAGAACAGGTGCATTAGGTATATTAAAAAACAAGCAAACAAACAGACAAACCAAACAGATATAAAGGTAGAGGTAGTTGTTCTTTGCCCTGTCAAGACTTTCTGCCACTAGAAGACTCCTCCTCTGGTGTAACCACAAAGAGATCCAGTGAGTATTTTCTTGTATCAACCCACTATTTAAGGCTAAAGCCGTAACAAGCTGCTGCAGCTGTTTCTTCTTCTTTCCCAGACAAATGTCTGAGAATGACTTTCCTGCCTTACCTTCCACAGTATATTTCAAATCTGAGAAACGCCAGACTCACAGAAGAGCCAGATTTCCAGTGTGATTTAGGTAAGAAAAAGTTCTACCAGAGGCAGAGTGATATTTTTCCAGGTACACTTTGCTCCCTTCATGTCAAATTATTTTCTGGTTTTACGGCTACAATTCAGCATGAACATTCACAGTGTTTCTTTCCAATTTGTTCCATTTTCTCCCATTCCCATTTCTGGATAAGGATTTAACAAGTATGTTTGTCAGCTGGTACGGGGAAGAGTATATATCGGTACTACCGACGGGCCAGCAGAAAGCAGAAATGTCACTCGTCTGAGTAAAAGTCACGGCACAAAGCCGCGCACGGGCCTTACTGGGTCAGGTCCCACCGATTCCAGCTGTAACTTGGGAGCAAATCAAAGGCAAGACACAGTCATGGGAGAGTCAAAATGGGCTCAAATTCAGAACATCTGCCTCGTGGGGGAATCTCAACATTTCATAGTGGGAGTCCAAACAAATATTTTGAAAATTTCCAATCAAATACTTTTTTTTCCTTGCCTGAAATGACAGGTTGTTAGTGTATTGTAAGATCACAGCATATCTGGCAGTTGTGTTAAATACATTATATTACAGTGTATCAAAATACTTTTAATTGTATTTTCTAAATTACTAAAGGCAGAACTGCTTCTTAATATTGGAATACCAGAACACATCAGTGCCACTTCTGTATGCTGTAAGAAAGATGTTAACATTGAAAAATAAAACAGGACAAACGTTTTTAATTTCATCTCTCCTTCCAAATTTGCTTACCAAAGTAGTTTAGCTTCCAAAAATGTTGTCTGAATCAAAATTCCATTTTGAATTACTATTTTTGTGAACATTTTAACTAACAACCATAAAACAATCAAAGAGTTAAAGTGCTATCTCTTACCCCACCTTTAACATTGTCCTCTCTCTAGATTTTTCCATCTAGTCATAAATATAAGCATTTTAAAATAAATGCTTTTTCAAAAAACCACAAAATTTTCAAAGGCAAGTTGCAAAAATGAAGCTTGAGTTCAGTATTCCACGCTCCCAGCTACCACCAAGAAGCCTCCACTTTTCTCAGTAATAATTACTTAAAAAATGTATCTAACATAAATATCAGAAGGCCCCCATTCTAGTGTGTGTGTAAGTGCTAATGCATAGTATTAAGAGTAGATTGTGTTTTTTTTAAAGTCTTAAAGGTTGTGAGATCCCACCACAATTCCATTTCATACCCACACATATTTAAGGAAAAATTTCTAAACTATTTAATTCTGGGTTACAAGAAAGGTGTCCGATTTGGAAGGGTCTCCATTAGCCCGGCTATTCTCACTCTAGGAAAAGAGGAAGGAAAACCAGGGTGAAGGATGAGAGCCCCGGGCGATCTGGCTCACAGTTGTCCCTTTGCTGGCAGCCACGTGAGAAGCGCAGTGTTGCGGCCAGCGCGAGCGAGCAGAGTGGGAGCCGAGCAGGGTAAGGGCTGGCTTTGCTGGGGCTGGAGAAGTGTGAATATTTATGCATCAAACGACAGGGTGAATGATTGCACTCAAGGGGAATCGCAGACTTAAAATGCAGAGGTTTAGAGCAGGCCAAAGAATGGGACTGAACGTATGCGGCTGGGATGTAGCCAAGCTATTACAGAATATAAAAAAGTGAGAGGGAGATCAGGTCCAGAAAGACCAAGACCCACTTTTCTGTTTCACCAGTGGAAGACTTTGATAGGGGTTTCCTTTAGCTAGAGGTGAGTTGCTTGGCTGCAGGATTCTGTGTGTGAAACCCCATGGCTCGTGTTGTACAGGGAATAAATCATTCAGGTCTTAAATATTTTATTTAATGTACAAGAAACTAAAATCTTTAGGCCAGAACTACTTGGAACCTAAGAAAAATAAATCATGCTCTAGATGGCTTACACAGCATAACCCACATTGAGAAATACTAAAAATCCCTGAAGTGTTTTTAAATGGGTGTCTGTAAGGCAGAGGGAAGCGTTAGGTGGGAAGGTAACGCCATGCTATAAAGATCAGGAGGTGACTTCCTAATGCACTGCGTCGAGTCAGTAATCCAGCAGCTGCCACTTTACACGTGCTCACCAAAAGTACCGACATTCTTCTCTGGCAATCGCCTAAACGAGAAGCAATTCTGTTTAATGTATGCTTTTCTGTCTTTCTCGACCTGAGTACCGCTGAAGACAACAGCTAAACCAAGAAGTATCATGCTTGGTTAATACTAAGTTACATAATGGATTAGTAACTACAGCTACACAGCAGAGCTTTATTTATTGTTCTGTATTTTCTTATTTTGAAGGCAAATGATTCACTAGCTTTAACAGAAGCAAGTGGCACCTCAGGGTTATAGTACCACTCATTTACTACCTTAGTTTTGGAAATCTGTTTCTGTATAACAAAGATAAAGATCTTGTTATTCAAGGAGAGAATGCATGCAGGAGTTAAATTTATTTGAATTATCTTTATCAAAGGGCAATAAAATATAAACTATAAAAAAATATACAAAACTTTGAATGCAAAAAGACAGATCCTGATTCCCTTATTCAGGAAGAAATACATTCTGATTTCAGAGAAGGTCTCAAGCATAAGATGCTGAGCTGACCTTCATACAGAGACACTCCACTGGGAAACTTTTTATTCCAAGGGCAATTTACAGTCTGGGCTTTCCGTATCTGTAGGCTTGGAATTTTCCTATATCAGAAGTTTCGAGCATTCATTTAATTACTCAAACTAGTGCAAAGCAGCCAAAGTCCCAGTTATTTAAAACAGATATGAAGTAAAATTAATGTGTAATAGTCCCAATCCAAAAATTAATCAGTACAGGCATCATTAATCTTCTTGTGCCTTCTTTCCTAACTATTCCACATTATTCACCAGAACTTGGAAAAATCCAAATAATGGAAATTATTTTTTAGGACTACAGATCTTCTCAAAAATCATGTGCTAATAGCTCCTTTCTTCTTGAGGTAAGAGACTATAAGCATGCCTTTGTATTATTGCTAAGAGTATCATATATGGAAAGAAGCAGCTACTTGGGTATTCAGGTCACACACTAGGTGAGACACTGGTTAAAACCAACTCCTTTCTTGAGGAACTTTAAGTATTAGGCAACCAGTTTAGCCTACCACATGCTGATGTTTTTACATGCTCTTAATATAAAGCCTTGCTTCTAAATAAACAGGCAGTCCCCTTATTTTTCTACGTGCTCTTAAAAGGCAGTGTCAAGTTCAACAGACTTCATTTTGCCTGGTTTTGAGATTACAAAGACACAGATAACATATCCAGAGAGACTCCAGTACCTTTCTTTGTAAGCTTTGATGGAAAAAAAAAAAAAAAAAATCCAATAATGGTCAAATCTTCACATCCTGTAACTGCTGGCTTTCCGAGTTCAACTTCTGTCTGTCATTATTTCAGATTCCTCCTCAACCTACACCAGAGAGATCAGAGAAGACGGATGAGATCTTCATGTCAGAACCACAAAAAAAGTCTTTACTTATTGAAAAGATAGTGACTGATGCAGTGAAAGTCGTTTTTTTTATTTTTCCCAGTGCCAAACCTGGGGCCAGACTAATCTGAACTGACATAATCTGACCTTTTGGAGTATTATACAGTCCTTTATTACAAAATTGACTGACTTTTTCCACACACAAAAATGGTATTAACAATTTTTTCCACATAAATTTGTATCCAGTACTATTAATTTTCAAGTTCCATAAGAAACAAAATCTTAGTAATAATCAAAGCAATTTCTTACATAAATGAAATCAGTTAAGACTCAGTCTTTTAGTCCAAAATATTCTTCTACAAACTATGTGAAACTGATTATACCCAACTTTACTGGACATGTAAGTAGTGATTACTGTGACAGTCTGATATATTAACTCTCACAGAAAGGAAGATCTTATTGCTCCAAATAACTTTCTGAATTAAAGTATTAGTCTATTACATGGATCATTTCACAGCTGGCTCTGATTTATCTTGGTTTTGATGCAGCAATTAATTCTGCTCAGAATTAAGAGAACAGGGAACAGAAAGATGGAGTCAGTCATTCCTGTAGTCTCTAGTTACAGTGTTATTTCACTGAAGAGGTAAGGTTCAAATACATATTTTTTTAGCAGTGAACTCCTACAATCCTTCAAGGCCACATGACAAAGTAAAAACTCATTGAGTTTTTTTTTTTTTCCTAGCAAAGTAAAAGTTATTTGTTACAATCACAATATATAACATTTATGATTTAGAGACTGTAAATCAGCAGGTTCACATATTTATTGATTCCCTTCAGAGCTCTGTTAGTCAAGATAGCTACTTAGCACAATACACTGAGGTAAAAAATCATAAGAAAACCAAGAACAGCCTTTCAGATCCTCTTAATTTTATCAGTCACACTCTGAATTACAATCATATACTCTGCCATATTAACAGATCGTGTGTCTGAATCTTCATCCTGAAAAATCAACGGGTACATCTTGAACACTGCCTCAATTTTTTGGCTGTTTTTTCTCCCTTTCTGCCCTAATCTCAGAACTTTTGGATTGTGTGGCTTTTATAGCTGTATCACAGGCAGTTCTGTGCGCTGCTTTGTATCTGCATATATCAAGAAATAACATGGCATTAAATTAATTTACACCTTGCACTGTTTTTAAGGTGATTTTTAAGAAAAATAGGTATTTTTAATTGGTTACACATCTGAACTTTACATCAGTAACTCAAACACTGTGTGTGTACACAGTGATTGCAAAGCTTATGTAGCTATCCATATATGCTGATTATGGTCAGAGCAGTAACAAGGGGAGGTGTTCAGGTACCAACGCCTTATTTTTTTTCCTCTTTCGGTACTTCTGACACAGCAAAAAGCTACAACAGTGTTCAGATTGCTCTGAAAGGATCAGAATCTTTACTGGCAAGGCCTGTTCTCACACCTTCTAGGTCCTAGGAACAGTTTTTGGTGGGGAGAAATACTACCAACAGTAGATGGTGATTGAGTTAGGAATCACTAAGGCAAATCTGACATATACAGATCTTTGCAATTGGATGGGATGCATCCCAAAATGCTGGTGAATTTGAGGAGGTGTAGCTGTTACTAAGGAATTAATGGTTGTAATGCTGTCCTTCAAAATGCAGCACCTCATCTGGCTAGATGAGGGCACAATGATTGCCTTTTCACCTCAAGTTTATTAAAGCAGCTGCTCTCAGCTTTTCAGATATGGGAGTATGCCTACACAAGGTGTGACATGATAAAGGCAGGCAAGTATCGAGTGTTTATATCATTGCAGTAAATTAGTTATTGGAACTAACTTCAACTGAATAGCTTCCAGGGTTATACTGAAGTTATGACAAAATTTATTTATATAACCCTATTCGCGTAGCAGTCTTTAACCTCAAATTACTTTTTAAATGTCCCATGCAGGTATCTGTTTTAAAAACCTGAAAACACAGCATTATGTCTTTACTTTGTTAATCTGATTCATACTTTGTGTATATAAAAGTGATTTTTCTAATTCTGTAAATTAGTTACACAATAAAAAATGTGCCGGGCTAACGCAGCAAACTAAAATGTTATGAAGTTTTGAGTTTTTATCTCAACAGTAGTCTGTAAAAGTATTGACAACAAAGATCTAAGGATAGGAAAAAAGCAAACACTGCATACTAGAAGTCTGTTTCATTTATCTGATAACTATTATAGTGAACAGGTTAACACCTGAAAAATAGATATGCAAAGATTTGAGTTTGCTTTATTTTATTTTATCATCCTAAAGCGGTACTTCATTCATGATACAGTTTTGATGGAGCCATTTACAAGATGCAACTCACTCTAATGTCACTGAATAGCTCACCCTCTGTATGCATTCTTTTTAAAAGGTTATTGGCCTACAGTTGGACTCGATGATTTTCCAACCTAAATGATCCTAAATATTCATTTATTTTATGTAAAAGGTTTCAAACAGTCTGGGTTTCAACATTCTTAAAAGTGTATTACAGCCTGAAGACCTAGATAACCGCCTGGTAATTTTTTGACCCATGCTGGCTGACGAGCTGCACGGGCCATTTGGTCTGCTGAAGGTCTAGGAAATAGCACAGGTCTCCTGGAAGAGGCAGCAGAGTAATGCAAGCAAACGGGCTCCCGCCTGCCTCCCCAGCAGCAGGCGTACACCTCCTGACAAGAATATGTCTGTATGATATCTGGTCATCTACAGATGTAGGCGCGTATGTGGTCTAGTTGGCAGTCTGCTCATCAGGCCATGTGCGCGCCCTCTGACAGATCTGGAAGAGCATTTATTCTTTCAAGGGCACGGTGGGTGTACTGGGGCACGTGTTCTGTATTTTACATCCTTTCTCCTTCCCAGTTTTGGGCACAGCCAGCAGCCCAGAGAACTGGAGTGGGAAGGCAAGGGCATGGCCAAAAAGGGACATCTTTTAGCCCTGTCTTTATGATGCTGAATGATGTGACAGTGTTAAGTACTACAGATTTGGCATATATTAAAACATTTTTTTTTTTTTTTAATTACCACTACTGAAATTTAAGTTTGGACAGAAGATAATGCGATTTGTGTGTAATCTTGCATATTTATAATGATAGTTATATTTTTCCTTCTAAACAGATTATGAATTATCATGGGCAGAACCATTCAGCACCATATTCAGCAAGGCTGTATACAGAAAATACCAGGAAGGTACATATTACTGTAATGTTAATTATGCCCTACAAAAGCAGCTACACTTACCTTTGCAGGTAGTGCATATCCTCCAGAAAAAAGGGAACCGACCACTAAGTTGGCTGAATTGCCAGCTGAAATATTACATGGGCCACAGTCACCACAAACTCCTGATACCTGACCTCCACTCTGCTCTGCTTCAGCAACATTATTTAATTCCAGAACTTCATCTTTTTATCCTTACACCTTATCTAGCATTACAGTGACTCCTTTCGTATCCTATATCATGGTTGAATAATTCAACAGCAAGTAAATTCCCTACATTTCTCTTCCACAGCCTTCAGCACTAACTGCTGATTGATACCTTCTAAGCTTTGCTGAGGAGATGTTTACATTTTTCCTTCAACACCATCACCACGGAAGGGCCGTGAGACGGGCTATAGCTGCTGCAAAAGACACTTCAGGTTTGTTCAAAACATGCTCTGCGAAAGTGCTCCGGCTGGTATCTCCAGATATTTAATGCACTTAATTCCGAATACAGCTGGAGTGCTTGTAAGCTATTCAGTGGCTAAAACCAGGCCCAGGGTGCATGGCTAAAACTGCACTGGTTTGTATCTTAAATCTGTATTTCTCCTTTTCCTGAAGCCAAGGCTGAAAATACTTTTTATTTTTGAATTTTCCGAGGTTTGCTGAGATTAATATTCAGTAAGAGAACAAGATACAGGTTACCTGGAGGCAACCTATTCCCCCACTGCCCTCTCAAACATTCTAAAGCAAAGTGTATTCTCTAATATGAAAGAAACATGATTGTAAATGTTATGTTTTGGGTATAAAATCATTATAGTCTCACTATCAGCCCTCCCCCCAAAATGGTCATATAATAGGCCTTAATAATTCTATTTATTAGAATGCCAGTTAGACTCATATGAACAAAAGCCCAGTATAAATGCAGAACATGTACATTCTTACCATTGCTAAATACTCAGTACTCTATACAGATTTCCGACTACACAAATCACCTCAACGCCTTTATAAATATTTAATAAATAATCATACATACAGTGTTGATAAGAGCACCTGCTGAAGAGCTAAGAAGAGGAGAACTAACATTGCTCACTGCAAGTTCCTTCCATTATGAACTAGAACTTGAACTATGCAGGATGTGCATGGCGGCTAGGAGAGTGGCTTGCAATTAGTTGGCACAATCCAGTGTACTTATTATATGCTGACTATATTGCTAATCACATAACATACACTAGAGAGACAAAAGGTGACTTTCCCACCAAATTCTGAATTGCTACAATATTGCTACAAATACCTACTACAATATTTAATTCTACGAGTAAGGAAACATGGGCAGAAACTGCTGGTTACAGATTAAGTTTACAACATCAAAATTTCAACAACTTTCCCACTCAGGGAAAATTAATAATCATGTATCCCATTGGAAGGTATTAGGTATCTTTAAAATAGTTAAGTGATTTGTTTTCTTTTAATTACTTCCTGCCAATATTCATAATTCTCTCTAAATGTTCAAAACTAACTTAAAATCCAATATAAAATTGCTATTGTTTTTGTATCATCAAAAAAAAAAAAAGATTAATGACATATTTCAGTAATCTAGTAATAACTGGCTTTTTTCATTGTTGAAGCTGTATGTAATCCTCAGTGGATCTTAGATGTAGGTTAAAAAGGTATTTAATGCCTATTTTTCAGTTGCCAAGGTCAAACATCACCTACAACGTATAAGGAAAGAGGAAACATCTGTTGGAATAATTTATTTGACTAACACAGAGGGTAGGATTAAAATTCATTAATTTCTTTGGTCCGATACTGAATTTCAATTAAACAATACAGGTATTTGTTCAGTTTGACAAAATTTCCTCAGTTTACACGTGGGTACATTTATGCATATCCCTAATTACTGGATCTGGCAAGGAAATACTGTGATTCGTCATTATTTTATATCTGCATATACTCTGAGGATGAATATTTCTTTATGTTGAGGTTTTTTTTTTCCCCAAAAAATACGTTTTAAAGAATTCACAAATCATTAATGAATTCCCAAGATTCTGGTTTCCTAGGAACTCCACTAGTAACAAGATTAGAATATGTCTCAAGATCAGTGATTACATGTGAACTTGTAATGCACTACCTTCAGCATCCCAGATAAAAGTCCCACTTACAAGTTTTTTGAAAATAGTAAATGCATATCACCTGACTGTAGTTTATTCTAACCTTTATGTAAATCAGAGCACAATCTTCTAGACTTAACAGTGAAAATAAAAAACTCACTCAAGTTGTTTAATTTGCAGATGTAAATTAATACAATATAGACATTTCATTCCAATCAAATATAGAAGACACAATCTTTGCCTTTCTAGGGTTAAAAGGGATTTCAACAGGGCCAGGATTGTACTCCAGCTTTTCAATACTGGGAAAATGTTTGTCAAGCAAAGCAGCTCAACAATCGGACAGCTTTTTAACATAAGAGAGCAAAATCAGAACGTTTTATCTCAAAGGAGATAGCAGAAGTTCTTACACTGAAACTTTCTGGGAGGTGCTGTACACGCGTGTTCCATCCTATATTAGGGGTAAGGGGAATGGGAAATGAAAAGCGTAGGTTTTTTGAAGCCTGGTGCAAAAGACAGAATGCTAATAAAGGTGAAATGCAAGCTGACAGAACACTGAACATGTGGACAAACTCATTTAACAATGGAATAAAAAAAAAAAAAAAAGCAGCATGTTTTTATGGCCTGAGTATTATTAGCCTGTACCCCTCTGAATTCCACAAGCCTGGACTATTCACTGGAAAATAATCGTGCAGTAGTACTATTTTGTGATGAATAGTGCACTGTTCCTGCAGTTCTGGTTCTGAAACATCTCCACTGCTATGCCTCTTCTGCATCAGGGAAAATCAATCAAGAATGGGCACACAGATGACAAGCTCAGTTGCTTTTTAGGCCGGAATATATCCATGGTCATATGAAGAACAAAAATGTTACTTGGGAAGAGAGCGGCTCTGTGATTTGTAATCCTTCTTCCCTTCTCAAGGGAAAGGCAGCTATTTTTAATCAGAAAAAACAATCAGTAGAAGCAAAACTGATGGAATGGAAAGTGGTAAGTTGTCAAGAATAAAATAGTATTAAATGTTGCTCAGTTAAATTTTCAAACATACTAATAAATTCTGATTTGAATGTAAAATAAAACATTTAGTAATTCAGTTACAAAATAATACCTGTCAGTTGAATTTATTTACTTAATCTACAGCATTGCATAAATTATGAATTATTTTGTTGGCCAATGGAGCTGAAAAATAATAAACCAGTTACGTTAAAAGTAGCATTAAAAATCAGGAAGGAGTGATATTAGGTCCCGTATACTGAACTAAACTATTACTACAGATAAAACTGGAAAAACTATAGGTCCCAAACTGCAAATCCCTATGAGCAGATTTTGTTTCCACAAACAGTTGCACTAGAGTTCACAAGGCTGCTTATGTAGTAAGGAATACATATGCTAAATTCTGAATTGTTTAAATTAATGTCTAAATGTCTGTAAGGCACACACATCAGATTTTCTTTCCTGATTATCCTGATTTTCTTTCCTGATTTCCTGGTCTTGAGCTGATGCTACAGCAAAATGCTAATCAAGTATATAATACACCATAACATGTCTATTAGAAGTAAGCTGTAACGATGAAAAGTGATTGTTTCTCCTTCTGCATATTACTGCGTGCGTGGGATCAACCTTCATCCATGTGTTGACAGTATCTGTACTTACAAGAATTAACTTTGATATTATTTTACCTTTGTGGAAGATTACAATCAAATGCATATAACAGAGACTAGTAACACTAAAGTTATTATTAATAGCTAGTCTGCTGATTTATAGCCAGAAACTGAAATCTATTATTCTGTCTTTCAAAGAAATAAAGACAATATATACATGACAAAGACAAAATATAACATGGTTAAAAACCCCTGAAACTGATTTCAGATGAAATTTTACCTTCATGTACTCGTTTTCCAACTGAGTCAGTAAGAGCTACCAACAGAACTAAGATGTCTGAGGAACATACCTTAATTTTCATCTGGCTTATATTTTTTTCCAGGATTCCTGGCAGAGGTTTTCTTTTAACGTTGTGCATCTCAGACAAAACTAAAAAATTTGGTTTTTCTTTCACAGAGTGACTGTAGTGAAAGGGAATAATACGATGAGGTGTTTCAAAGTCAGCTGCAAAAGACAAAGGATTAATTCAATATCCCAAGTCAAACCAAATCTATTTTAATATTCAGTATGCTTGATCACAGGTTCCATTATAACTTGTTATAGAAAAGTGTAATAAGCCTTAGGGTAAAATGCCTCAAATTTGATAATGGAGAATGGAAAACTTTGTACAAAATTAAGGGAAGTGCCGCAAAAACTGATGAGGGTGAATATTAAAGCAGGTATTCCCATTCAGGTAGAGTTATTTGAAAGGGAGAAAATTCAATTACATAGCACCTCCTTATGTCAGTAGTTATTCAAGAAGGCAGAATATTAGTTTCAGAACCATTGCCATTCACATATGGCTTCCAAACACTGAGCAGACTGCATCTGTCTTGGGGCTGAGGCTGACAGGCTGAGTGCTTTTCACTTCATGTCTTCAAAAATACTGATCTTCATGAGATTTCGTGAATTAATAATTTGAGATAGTATGGCTATGAAGAACATGCTCTCTCTCTCCCCCAAGTTACACAACACAGTTTATCTTTTGAAAGCAACAGTGTAACACCAATTTTATTTTATAAATATGGTCATTCAAACCATTTTGAGTAATTTGAAGTCTAACGGCTGTTTCCAAATCCTGCAAGATGGCAAGATATGCTTTTAAGTCATTTATGTTTTAATCTGCAGTCAATTCTGGAACAACATCCCCCACCCCAGAATTTTTTAAAAAGCTCGAAGTTTATTTCTGGTTTTGCTTGAGTTTCAAAACTAGTTTGTCTTCTTGCTTCAAGAATGCTGCCTTTTCTTTTAGGTTTATTGCTTTTTTTTCCTCCAAGACTTTTTTCTCCCCTTCCAAGTTTAAAACTTTTACTTCTGCTAGACATGTATCTTGTGAAGGCCTTTGAAAGGACTGGCAATTTACACAGATCAAGTAAGTATCAACAAATAGATTTTAAAAGTCCGATGTATTTCATGCTTATTTATTCTAGAATGCCTAACACTTTTTCACTTTTTTTTTTTTTTTTTTTAATACATGGAAAGTAATCATGAGTATTTACAAACATTCAAAAAGTACTAGCTAGTCTTTTCAAGAATTCTGGGGGACTGGGATGGGAATTAAAAAACCACCACATGAACTAGCTGTAAAATTAGATTTTATGTTGGAAAAGTTCAATTTCTACTCCTGTGTTCACCACCAGCACAAATCTCATTCTCAGTATATTTACTGTTAGCTGCTATTTTATTGTTTCTGTAATATTGCAAATAAGCATGAAGTAATTGATTAGTTCGCTTACAAAAATGTAGATAGGCTGCATGTTCATTTGTCATTCTTTCTTTGTTTTTTTTTCCTGGCAGCTCTGGAGGCTTTCCAATTCATTAGGAACTGTCTTTCCATTTCTTTAATTTCTTTCCCATCAAGGGATTCTGTCAAAGAGAAGAGAATGCTTTCTGTGATACCCAAAGTTAACTAAAAGGCTGTACAACACTGTATGTAATGTGTACTGGTTCTATATTTGCTCTCTTCAAGTTTTTTTGCTCATTTTAGTCTTCTGGTAAAAAAAAAATACCCAGTACAGCTTGATATTCATATTCAAGCTTCAATAGTGAGTTGACACGTCTTAATTACATAAGAAAGCATCTATTATTTTTATTACTATTATTATTATTATTAGCATCTATTATAACTTTCAACATTCCGTTAACATGCAGCACTTTCTATAAAGTTCTGAAGAAAAGCTATGCTCTCACACAAGATATAAATAGATGCAGAAATTCAGGTTAAGAGAGAGAAACTGCATGTCTTAGCAATCAACAGATCCCCTGGATCATAAAGACAGAAAGACAGATTTGGCTCTTTAAGGTTATCTTTACTTACTTAAGTGCCATAAAACTTATGCTTTATGTTTCCTTGATTGCATCTGCATTTCTGAGCCAGAGCAAATGAAATATCTCATTTGGCCACAAATTTAGGTTGTGTTAGAACTGTCCTAAGGCTCTGTTATCTTCATTGTGTAGATATGCTTTTTCTTTTTCTTAATGACCAATATTTTATACTCTCAGAAGAAAGAAAAACAAGTTCTATAATTACACCTTCTAAGATAATTGCCACCTTTATCCAAAAAAGTAAAAAACGAGCAGATATTTTCTACTTGTTTTTACAGTATGAATACTTACATATAGAAGACTAAGTTGCTTCCTTTTATGCTCAGATTTTTTCACAATAATAACACAAACTGCATCACAGTAAAGTTAAGATTAGCAAATGCATTCATAACGTAAGTGTAAATTGCTTTTAAGGACAACCATTGTATAGCAAATTCAAACATGGTAAGGTATGACTTGTACAACTGTAACTGCACAACTAAAACACTTAAGCAACTACTACAGACTGATAGGGGAGTAGATTAAACTTGTATTTAAAAATCAGTTTCAAAACACCTGGAATATGAGCACAAAGAAGCCTTGCTGTCTTGTAACAATCTCACCAATCATCTATTATAAAACAAATGATTACTACTACTAATAGCAAAAGCTAAGCAACACAATTTGTGCAGTTGATTACATAGGCAATTTTAGGTACTTTACTTGTACATAAATTAAAACTTTATAATTTGTCATAAATATCTAAGGCAGTAACTGTGTTTACATACATAGTGCAATTCAAGAACAATTAATATATCAGTTATTTTCTAAACCGGTGAGGTTTATGGGTAGTTTTGGGGGCTGGCTATTTGTTTTATATTTTACCTAAAGTTCGTGACTGTACTACAATCCTGTCCCTGTACTTTGGTTCGTGGCAGATGGGGTTTCCTGTAAGATCCAGTCTGCGTAGCTTTGTCCATTTGCTTAATACAACCTCCAAAGCCTGAAATTGATAAAAGAACAGAACACTGTGATTATTTTTCCCCCTCTAGTGTAAAATTCAATAGTAATGTGATTTGTTCAGCCAGACCCAAATCCTGCACACAGGAGTAACTTCAGTGAGACTACTCATGTATTAATATGCACGTTAAGAATATGCATTTTCAAAGAGTGGTGCATAGCATTCCCTGAATATATATCATAATTGTATAGAGAAATGGTGATGCAGTTGGAAAATTCTGCATTTTTAAGGATACAGTAATGCCAGCTATAGAAAATTACCACTGCAATCCCATTTATAAGCACCTAAAGCTGAGGAAAAAAATCAGCCAAAAAATGTGTATAATATGTAGTGTCTGTTAATGCATCCCCATGGTCTCACAGAGCCCTCAGAGTATCAGTGTCTGATTAGATTTTGAAAAATTTGTGGAAGAATACGTTACAGAGAAAGAACAAACTAAAAAAGACTTAAAAATCATACAAATCACAGTAGACTGCCTCTCTCTTTATATGTATGTAAAACTGTATTTTACAAGAGAAACAGTAATCTCCTCCTACCTAACTGTGGGTGGTCAGTTATAGTATTGGCCCAAATAGTGAAAATTTTGACGTATACCTTTCTCCATCTGAGTTTCTGTCTGGTTACCCAAGGGCAGTATGACCTAAATAAAACTTCTGTCTTTTAAATACAATAAATTCAAGTTAAAAAGATGCAAATCTGAGCAGATTGGTCTTCTCTACTCAGATACTCTAGTCTCTGAAATACATTCTTTTCAAAATTTCACTTAACTGTCATTCTTGAAAGGCTTCCTTATATGTGTGAAAAGCCTAAGGAGGGATTAAAAACAATCTGTATGAATACAAGAGGAGAGAATTTATGTTCTACAGTTGTAATAATTTGGAAAAAATCTACTAATCACAATGTGACACATTTTAAACTGCAAAGTCTGTAGAATTTTGTAGCTTAATGCCAATAATGAAGTATCTAGCGATGTAGATATTTCTTAGCTCCTTCAAATTTGGAGAATCACCTGGGTAATGCAAGCAGGGAGAATTCTGGTTTTGCAGGTTCTACTCCCTTGGTAGAAAATCCTCCTGGGAATATTCTACAGATTATATAATACAAGTTTAGAAGAATCACATGGAAGAGGAATTTGCAGCACAGCCTCACATCTCCAAACCGTATCATCTTTTGTCTATCAGTGATGATGGTGATATCATCTATCATCTATTGTTATTCAGTGATGATAATCTCTTTTCAGAAACATAGAGAGCAAAAGACTGGTTCTATGAGGAGCAAGACTGATAAAACAATGCAAGAAACTCTGAGAACCAGTCCACATGAATAAATGCTGATAGATCTCATAAAGTTACACAGCAAAGCTTTATCAGCATATATCAGAATAGCAACATCATAACCCCCCCCAGTTTAGGTACTGACAATCACAAACACAACAATTTAGGGGGAAAATATTTTAGGCTAGGCTTATTAGAAAAGAAATAGCACTTAGCAAGCGTATTTATTTATTCTCACCTGAGCATTCAGGCATTGTCATTGAAATCTGTAATGTGTTTGAGATTTCACTAGAAAGTACTTTTTCAAGTAATAGTTTTGCAACACAAAATTGTCTATTACTGAAATAAAATGTATACAGTTTAACTTTGATGAATGTATACAGAGAGTCCTGTAGATTTTTGTTAGCTGTTACTTACTTGATAAATGACCCAGAACATGCTTACTCCAGTGTATGTTTATCTAAGAGCACACTAATCCTGTGCTGAAATATGATTACCCTTTCGATACGCTCTAGTTGTTCATTGCCTTCCTGTCTCTAATAAAGTACTTTCACTTCCCAGCCTTTCAATAAGCTGTACTAAGGGGACCAGACACTCTTCTGGGCAGTCTCCGTTTGATAAATGATCATGTCATGCTATCACTTTGAGGTCTGCTACAAAATACTGACGAGCAAATTATATTCCATGGTGGGAGGAGAGGGGGGGGAAGGGCAAGTGCCTTAGTAGGCAGCTGTAGTGCTGGCAATAACATTCTTACCAATTAACGATGGCCATTTAAGAATTGGTATCTGACCAGTATGCTCCAGTTTTTATCGGAAACGTCTAGTCCAACTGCCATAACTACATCTACAGACAGCAATTTGTCACCATTTTGATTACCTGTCATAATCTATTTGAGAAAATCTATAATTCTTCTCTTGCTCCTGACTCAATTCTGAAGTGAATGAATTCATCTTTTGTGATATCCCCTTGTCATAATCAATACTGGGCAGAGGTTGAATAAATTAAAGACTTAGGAAAGACAGATTTTTATAGGGATTTCTAGCTATATTTTCTCTATTTGTCCAAATACACAAGTCATAATCTTCCCCAAACTAATATAATTAACTAATAAATAATATTCTGGCTTTTTGTAAACATGAGTAGTTGTGGCACTTTTTTTTTAATAGGAACAGTGTTTTTTTTAAGAAAATCCTTTAGTATTCCAACCCAAATACCTAGAAGTCCTTGTGAATCTGACTAAAGTAAAGCAGAAGCTCTATAGGGTAAATAAATGAAGTAGAAAAGCCAGTTCTATTAAAATCAATTATATTCTTGATAACTGACCTAAGGCATACTTTTTACATGTGGTGGCTAGTCACAGTAAGTTATTTTGCATGAATTGAGAAAAATTACTTAATTTTGTTCTGTCTGCTGTTCAGACTGCATTATATAAACTTCAGTCATGTGAAACAAGGTCTATGCCTTGAAGTCTGTTAATTATGCTAACAATGCCCTGAGTTAGCCAGAACCTTAAGTGCTTGAATTTACTAGCCCTAATTTTCAACTATGCTGAAATTAACATGGCATTGTTGAAAAGTGAGGGCGTGTGGGTTTTCACAATAACGTGAAAAAAATGAGACAAACGTTTAAATATAAAATAAGTATACTAATTATACAAAAGTGAGAAAAGTCTTTGCGAGAAGACTGTATTTCATGCATTTCTTATGCCTTTCACATTTCCCTCTTTTGCAAAGATTCTGTGTTATTCCTGCTGTCATCCACCTCTGCTACACAGTTCACTGCTGTTGACCAGCCCTGCTCAGGCAGGGTGGCTCCTCTACAGCTCCTCTGCCCGCAGGGTGAAGCAGTGCTGGGCACAGAGCTCTGATGCTCCTCTGTCATGCAGCACTGCCATGCTCTCTGATCAGCGCCAGGCATTCCCGGGGAAGTTCTTGATGGCAGTGATGGGGAAGCAGGAACAGGAAAACAAGGGACACAGAGCTTTTGGCATGAGAAAGAGGGATACATCAGAGTTCTGAAAAGAGAGGGGCAAGAGGGTGAAGAATGGAGGCAGCCTGTGTGCGAATGAAAGAGCCTTTGCTGCGTGTTAACAAGTTCAGCCAGCAGAAGTGATTAAGTATATGCAGTACAACTGCATACCCCATAAAATCCTTTCAGCTATCACATCTGTAGAATTACGTAAGCCATCGAATCATGAAATCATGAAATTCAGGGTTGCAAAAAAATTGAAACGTACTCAAAATGCCCACCTTTTTTTTTTTTTTTTTTTAGTTACTGGATATGCAAGATTGTTCTCCTGTTAGATGTACACTGTAAGTTAAAGCGTCTTAAACAGAACTAAAACTGACTTTTTTTTTTTTATATATATATATATTTTTTTTGCATGGCCTACTACTTTTTCAGCAGTCTGTGTTTTTTTTTTAAATTAAATAAGAATTTATATTAGTGATAAGTAGAGCCTACTAAAATGTAATCTCTAAACCACAATAATTGTAGCTGGAAAGTTGGATATTCAGCTGCATTACACTGTATGCTAGACACATTCAGTATGGTTTTTAATTTTACAGGTCTGCAAAGATATGAAGATAAATACCTTATCTGCTTCAAACTTTCAAAACTTGGATATTGTTTAGAAAACACACAGGACAGTCACTTTCAAAATTTACCAGAGCTTGATCCACGCGTAACTGATAGCAGCAGCAGCAGCAGCTAACTCAAATGCTAACCACGTAATTTCTCAAAAGCTGTGACTGTGTAACGTGGAAATCTAAATGTTTGACTGAGTAAATATTAACTCTGGTCTTCCTGATGATGAAATAATGAAATGTAATAATGATTAAATAATATATACACAGCTACTAAATAATGCAGTCTTTTTGTCATCTCCTTATTCTGTTTCAGAATATTTTTCCCTCTGAGGCACTGAAAATTCTGTCTCTGAACTGGCATCCTTATTCTTAAAAATAGTTGGTTCTTTGGCTAAGACAATCTTTTTTAAGGTCATCACACTGTCTTTTGTATTTATAAGAAGGAAAAAAGACAATTTAAAAAAAATCACTGTAACTTATTTTATTTAGGAATCTTTTTCAAAAGGAAAGCTTTGAAGAAACTAACTAGTTAAAAAAGCTTACTGTTGTTTTGATGTAACCAACACATTCAATATGGTTTTAATTACCCATCAAAAGCCTACATTAATTGTATTTTGATATGAATTCAATCACAACTGCCAGCCAAAAACACAGCTTGAAGTACATTAATCATCATCTAGTAAAAAAAAAATGCATCATTCAACATTTTTTAATATTAAAATGTACAAAATTAAGAGTCCAAATAAAGTATATTGACCTAGATAATTCATAGATTGTGCACACAGAATACTGGAATCTCCTCATTAGTAAACAGAACTGACACATTTAATGTAAAAGATATTAAGTGTTCTAAAAAGTAGTAAGAATAGTTATTTTAATATTTAGCAACCATAGGCATTAGTGTTCTGCTTTTTAAAAAAACTGCTATTTTTATTAATAAATACTGAAATTAATTGGCTTACGTCATAACCCAAATCACTGCATTTACTACTCAGTACACAGATGCATGCATAATTGCCACTTTATGTAGAATTAAAGGACATTTGGACATTCTAGATAAGAGGTCCTCCATTTTTAATCTGAACAAGATTTTTGGATGAGAAAAGACAGCATGCTTGGAAAGTCAGAGGTTCAGTAACTGTAGAAGTAAAGTTTATTTTTATTCATCTGTTAGTGATGAAGATGAATTTGACTAATTTCTTATCACCCATACTAAATAGAACAAATATTTATTTAAATACCTTAATATGTTGAAGTTGATTGTCAACTGCTCTAAGATAAGAAAGATTTTCCAAAACTGCCAGTTCTTCTAATTCATCAATGTTGTTATTGCTGATATTCAACACAGACAAAGATTTCTGGAGAAGGAAAAGCAGAAAAAGAAAATTTTTTTCATGCCATGGGTGAGTCAAGTTGTAAATTCTCACAGAAAATTATCTGAAAGGAAGAACAAGCATATGAAGCAGAAACATGCAAATACAACTACCTCATAACTCAGACATTGTTTTATGTTAGTTTTCCACCTTGTCTGAAAATGCTGTTTATTTTGAAGTCAAACAAAAGATTATTTCTCAATTATTTCAGGAATTCTTAGGAAATACAGAATTTTTATTTTTCTCTAAACATGTTCAAATGCTTTACAGAGTTCCGCAAGTGCTACTAACTACATTTGAAGAAACTGACTGCCTTTTCCAAGGTTATGTCTGAACTGCACAGAGCTGAAATCCATATCCAATACCTGCATAGACTCATTTAACTGCTGGACTATGCTGTTTTGTTTTCAGGCTTGATCCTACAAACCTCTACTCCTTGGCCCTTCTTTGGTACATTAGTGAGTCACATAACGCACTTTGCCTTTTGTAACAGACAGTAGTTAGAGAGATCTTTACATTCTAGATAAAAAGTAAGTATGTTTCAGGTGTTTATCTCAGGAAATAATGCAGTTTCACGTAAAAGGAACAAGACGATTATTAACTCTAGAAGATGAAAAAGGGCACCTAATCTGGTGAGTTTAGAATGGTGTCAGATAGGGGATTTAATCATTAGTTAGAAAATGCCTATTTCATCAGTGTATACAGGAAACGTAACCCCCTTCTAAAATCTAACCAAGATCTACACTGCAGGCAGAAATTACCAGTATCATCCCGATACACACAGTGCATAAACTCGATCTCCTCAGTTAAAAGATTCATGATACGGTCATCATCAAATCATTTGCTTGTGGTACACAGAAAGCTATATGGTTGCGTGTGTTAGGCTCTTTCATCTCTGGCAGCATAAAGAGCCAGAAACAGATAGAAGAAGATGAAGTAAGAAGTGATGTCTTAAAGAGAGACTGAACACTTAGCACTCGAAGGATAAAAATAGAAGGTTTTTACATGTAGTTTCCACAAAGATATTACAAGGTCAAGAATGCAAAGTGTTTCTTACAAAACCAAACCAAACCCAACTACACACCAAAAGACCGTAAATAAAAGCCATGAAGAACAAAATGCTAGTGGCTCTAGGCCAGGATGCTGAAAAACACGGAAGTATATGAGTTATCATCCTGGGAAGGTTATAGCTACATAGCATACTCTACTTTCATAATTTCTCCAATAATAGAAGGAACAAAGTAAAAGTGCTCTCACAGGGATGGCTCATTTCTATTAAAGGAAAATGGCAGTACATGTCTTGGATTACTTAATCTCAAAACAGGAAGAATTAGAGCTAGGACAAATGTTTATGATATATACATGAACAAAACCCCTCACATTTCAGTGAGTTCATCTTCACAGAAAAGGGTCATCAAACCCTGACTACACTTTAGGAGATACAGCAAGATTATTTTTTTTTTAGCATAGAACTACATTCATAAGTAAGTAAAGATTTTTTTCTTTTTTTTAACCACTTCAACAATACATTTGATGTTTACTAAGCAATTAACATGTTGAAAAAAAACTTCAAAAGCTGACTTTCCTGAAATCTTGTCATACCACAACACAAAAACTGCAGAACCAAAACTGAATAGTTTTGATTGTGTTACTCTTGATATCCAGAAAAAAAGCTGTTTGCACTTTTTTTTTTTTTTGCCATTGCATTCTCTAGAGAAATACAAAAGGCAGTAAATAAACTAATGTAACAAACAAATCTGAGAAATACCAACAAACTAATTCACTACAAACTAAGTAGACTAAGATGACTAACAGTGATGAATTCCTACCCTTTCTTTAGTTTATTCACATTCTGTTAGTATAGGGCATCCACACACCTCCTTATTTCTTCTCCCTCTTTATTCCCATTTCCATCCTTTATAGAAAAATAAATGACCAAGTAGAATATGCTGGACTCCTTGCTTATATGAGAATTGGGATGGGAGTCCCTTGGTAAAACTTGAATGGATGCCACCAAATGGCAGAAAAGGAAAACACACAGGGATAAGTCCTAGTTACTTCTCTGAAAAATACTGATCTGCTGATAATGGCCCACTGAAATTCTCAAAATGTACTTACTGCCAGGGACCTAAGAGATATTGGATCAAACAGAAGCTTTTCACCAAGAGGGAGACGTTGACTTTCAACATGTAGCTCCCTTATTTTTTCTACTTTATCCAAACCCTCTACTACAGTGATGCAGTTGCCACCCAAAAACCTGTAGAATAGAACACAAAACAGATTTAATATCCTTTGAAAGTAAAAGCAAACACAAGGCCTTGTTTTATTAAAAAAGAAAAACAAAACAGAAAAAAAACCAAACCACCAAACCAAAAAGTGTTATTTAATAATACCTTACAATAGAAAAAGTAAATAACAGCATGTGAGTAGAACATACAGCTAACAGATCAGATCCAAGGCTTTTTTAGTGGTTTTATATATTGCTATTATTATTATTATTATTATTATTATTACCTGAAAAATAATTTAAATACAAATATGTCAAGATGATGTGTCATTACTTACATCACAGAACGCTTCAACAAAAAAATCATAACCAATTACTTTTATTTGAAAAGCAAAATTTAAGAGCTGAAAGAACCTTAATGGCTACATAATTTTTACATTTCTTAGTGTAATAATTATTCTTTTACTAGTAAAATGAATACATTATTTTCAACTTACAGTTTTTCAAGGTTTTTCAACGATGAGAGATTTTCCATACACGAAATACAATTGTTCTGAAGGTAAAGGTGCGTCATATTTGAAGCAAAGTCCAAGTTCTGGATTTGACTGATCTGGTTATCATATAAATATAGAACTCTAAGATTTTTACACAAAGAGAGGTCACCCTGCAATAAACAATAACAAATTAATGATACACAGAGTTCAGTCGCTGCCTGCTTCTGCAAGCTGTTGATTGTTTTTATATTTAAGTTCTGCCGCATGATTTATCCATTTTCACCTTTAACAAACACTTTTAACAACTATTTCTCTTCGAAAAACTGAGTTAGTGTCAGTAATAATCAGATTTAAGACTGAAATCTGTTATCACTATTCTGCCGTACAGAAGCTGAGGACTACAGCCATCAGCAGCAGGTACATCTCATCCTGCGTGTCTTGATTCTCTTCCCTGCCTTCATCAGGTGGATTTCAGAAAAGCGCAATTATCAGTGCAGTTGTCTGCATCAAACCTCAGTGATGTAATGGAAACCAGTTCTTGGCAAAGTAATACTGATTTATACAAAAACTTGCACACCCATGCATTTTGATAGACTTCCAAGTCTAAGATTCCACTCAAATGTCAAGTTATATTGAATGTATTCCTCTTAAATAACTAAAAGGTCACGTGTTCTTATGAGGGTTTCTGTAAAACTCCTCTGTGGCATCTGATGAACCAGTCCTAATCAAATGGGCTGATCAAATTAATAACTCACTATGGCTGTGCATGTTCCTAGGAGTGGGCTGAATAAACCCATTTGCTTGCATGATCTGTTCACATAGAACAAGCTATTTAATCTTCTTGACTGACATCGCACTTTTAAAGCAGAAATCCACCATACACAACTATTCTGTTGTTCAGGGTTCAGCAATCTCAAAATATTCTCAGTATCTTGAGGGGTTTTGAATTAACTCAGGACTTACTGAAACCCATATAAATTTCCCATTATTAAACTCAAAGGAAGGAGGATGGGGTTAAGTTTGCAGGTTTAGTCTTTGAAAATGAAAAGGTCATGGATTATTGTTTAAATGAGTAAGCCCCAGGGAGCAATTTTTTAAAAAAATGTAGATTTTAACCTGACTAATTTGAAAAAGCCACTATACCAGTCCAAATTTGTTAACCTCAGTTGGCTTATATCCTGTTCCTGAACTCCCCTTTCCTTTCTCAGACTTCCTCTGAAATCTAAGGAATAAATCACAGATAGATTGAAAAGATTGTGCTGTGAGTTAACAACTCTTTGTAAAATTCCCAAGACTAGAAAAAAAATGGCATTAATGAGAATCAAGTAAGTACTGCACTTAATAGTATGTAATATCATTACTCCTTCCTTTAAAAAAAAATAAAATCTGATCTGGAAAAGTACTAGTTCCTTTCATCTTGTTCTGTTCCACAGTTTGCATTTTTATAAAGGTAACCATCAGTAAATACAAGTCTTCAAATAAAAACCAAACTGTTGCTGAAAATAGGAACTTTGTTTTTTAACCTCAGACCTAAAGTCTCCAAGAACACTGTAGCTAGATTTCATCAGGGCTCCAGCACTGCTGACAAAGCCCTGCGCTTACTGATTCAATGGCAACAGCCTGGGCATATTCTATAGGAAAAGTCTCAGATCTAAATGATTAATTTAAAATATTCTCTTTCTTAAGTGTCTAAAGAGGTAAGCAAGCAGAGTTAACATTTGCATTCTGGTAACTTCCTGAAAACTCCTTTACAGTGTAGCTACTGTATGAAATAATCAAAATAGCAAATTGTTTTTGGTTTTTGTTTGTTTGAGTTGCAGATTTCTATAATAGTTCTGTGAAATACTACAGAAAATACTTCACTTTAATTAACACTTCATCTCTCGTGTAATTTCTTACATAGATTTTACATTTTAATTAATTAATGGCAAAAATGAGTGTACTGATAATATTCTTCTTGTCTGCTACACAGATGATATATATTTCCACAGTTTCAGGTAAGTAAAAGACTTCAAGATTTTCCACATAAAGAAAAAAGCGTCGGGGCAATAATAAGAAACCCTGCAGACTGTTGGAGTTACAGTCACTCACTCTGATGTTTTATATGGAAAGTTACAACTGAAAGATTATTTTCACATTTCAAATGCCAGGCATTTCATATCCATTTAAACTTCTATGTACAAGCAGTGTTCCACACAGTAACAGCAGTGAATGCTGAAGCATGTTTCCAAACAGATGTATTATTAAGGCTTAATTGCAAGTCAATATAAATGTTAAAATGTAATACAGCTGTTATAAAATAGAAACTTGGCTTTGCTTGTTTGTCTCCCCAACTATAAACAACTCATCATAACAGTAACTACAAAAAATTCAAGTAGCTAGGTTAAAAGGAATAAAGAAGAAGAAATCTTACAATTGCATCTATATTTTTATCTGATAAATTCAGATGAGTTATTTTTCGCAGATACTGTCCAAAGTCCTCTTCATTGCGATTCTTGTGACTGACGCTTCTAGCAATCAGGTCCATTGTCAGTCGGACCATAATTCTGTAATAGGTCAAACTGCTCTAACGCTTCTTTGAATAGTGCATTCCACGTGCTCCTGTAAGTAGTTTTATAAAATGCCTTAAAAACAAAAAAGGAAAATATTATACTACTTGTATTCCAGATCTCCAACAAGGCTTACATGTATACTTCAAATCTGAAGTTTCCCCACCAATTCCCTTTCTGCTTAGTGACACATTTATGCAGTCTTTGATGCTTAGAAAAACCTACCCCTTTTTTTTCCGCATTTTTTTTAAACTTTTAGTGTATTAAATAACATTTAAAATACATTGTTGTATTTGTTGTTTCAGTGTGCTTAAGAAGGCTGTTCCTTAGTCTTTGTCATTTGCATACAGAAATATGAGCACAGTGGTCCACAGCAGAAGTAACACTCACACATAAATAAACAATTCATGGCAGTTCATAACCGAATTATTAGTTAGAAAATACATCACTCTCTATAGCAGGTTTTTTACAGGCTCTGAGAAGTGGTGTAAAGCTACAGTACTCTTTACACATCAGCACAGCCCATTGTTATACACACGATGGCATGTGAGTTTTTCGCACAGAGGCATACTGTAGAGGCTCTCTCAGGCTCTCTCACAACAATACCTTTTTTTTTTTAAAACTCTGGTTTATAAATCGGGGAATGGTGGGATGCGGGAAGGAGGCAAGACACATATTTTGAACTAGCTGCACAAATGGTCAGGGGATAAAAATACCCTAACAAATAGAACTTAACAACTCAGAACAAAAAGGTTGCTTTTTTTAGCCAGTACATAACACAATGCACATTATGTATTTTAGCCAATACATATTACCCCCACATCAGTGGATCAAAACAACTGAGGAGACAGTGAAAAGCATCCCAACGCTAAAACTCACGCAGCCACGTAAACCAATGCACGGAGGATGCCCCTTTCCAGTATTAAATTTATGAGAAACTGAGGAAAAGCAAAGATTGAAACCGTGAAGACCAAAGAAACTTCCTTACTTACTAAGTAAGGCTGAAGCTCAGTAGCTCCCCCTCATTTATGTGGGCTTTATTTTTTGCCTTTTTTTTTTTAAAGGTGGGGGACGAAGAGAAGCTAAAAGGACATGGTGGGGGGTGGTTTTTTTTTTTTTGTTTTTTGGTTTTTTTTACTGAGAAGTTTGTTTCCTTCTTGCTTTTAAAATAAAGATACCTTTCAGAGCCCATTCTTAGACTTTCTTCCCGAAGAAGCTGTACCAGCAGAGGAAAAGCCGGGCTGCCAGAGCGGGGGCCTGGCGTGAGGCAGGTTCCCCCCGGTCCCACAGCTCCCAGAGCGGTGCGATTTCACACTGGAGCCGTCCCTGACCCCCCCGCCCAGAGACAGGGCCCAATCCGCCACCCAGCACAACCCCTGGGAAGGCTGCTCTGCCCGTGAGCGAGGAAAGAAGGGGGCAGGACCCGCTCCCGGCGCCCATCCCAGAAGGGAACGACCCCGCGTCCCGCCCGGGCCCCGCTCCCCGCCCCTCACCTCCCGGCCGGGGCGGTGGGACGGCGGGTGGAGAGGAGGCGCGAGCGCTGCCGCCCCTGGTTGCCACGGCAACCAACGCGCCGAGAGGGGCGCCCTTTCCACCCAATCAGCGCTGAGGAAAAGGAGCGGAGGCGGGGTCAGGGCGGGGCCGGCGGCTGCGCAGTCGCGGGATGCGCGATGTCGCTTAATGGCGGCGGCCTGAGGGGAGGGGGTTGTTCGGGTTCGGTAGTGGCTGTACGTCTCGTGGGTACATACACCCCTTAAGTGCCCACAGGGGTGAGCTGGGGTGGGGGACTCAGCCTGTAGTCACGGGCCTGGCTGCGCCTCAGAGCGTGGCCGCGGGTGTGACTTGCAGTGAGGGTGGCCCCTCGGCTGTGGGGGCCTGTCAGCCCACCTCGGGGGTCTGCAAAAGAGGAAACGCAGCCGGGGAATTTCCCAGAAGGCGGCTTTAAAACCTGCTAATGCAAGTGGACTTTGAACAACATTTCCCCGAAGAAGAGCTCACTGGCTTACTAGTATCTTAATAATGCTATGTGTTCTTAAATTTCATTTACCTGTACGTTTCCCATCTGGTGTTACCCCTTCTTCCTGCATGCCAGGCATTTTTGTGAGGATGAATTTCTGGTAAAATAAAATTACATGGCCCATTGCACCCCATGCTTAAATTAGAAAGGTTAATAGTGTAATAAACTGAGTGGATATTGTATTTAACAGCAATGTTTTATAAAAGAAGGTTAGAAAATGTTTAATAGTTTTTTTCCTGTGATGAAAAATTCCAGTTTGGGGTTGTTTGTGCTTTTTTTTTTTTTTTAAAAAAAAATCAGTGTTAACCTTTTTGGTGCCTTTTAAAATGAAATTTTAATGAAAATTAATTGCTGATGACACAAAACTGAGAATAGTTGGCTGATACAGCAAAGGGTCCTGCTGCCACCCAGAAGGACCTTGCTAGGCTGGAGAAAAGTGTGAACAGGACCCCGAAGATGTTCAACAAGGGGAAGAGCAGAGCCCTGCCCCGGGGAGGAGGCACCAGCCCAGGCTGGGGGCTGACCAGCAGGAAAGCAGCTTGGCAGAAAAGGACTTGGGGCTGCCGGGGGACACCAGGCTGACCATGAGCCAGCACCGTGCCCCTGCGGCAGGGAAGGTGAACGGTGCCCTGGGCTGCATTGGGAGGAGCGCTGCCAGTTGTGGAAGGAGGTGATCCTGCCCCTTTATTCAGCATTTGTGAGGCCAGACCTGGAGTGCTGGGTCCAGGTCTGCGCTCCCCAGTACAAGAGAGACATGGGCATAGTGAAGGGCCATTATAATGATTAAGGGACTGAAGCATCTTTTTTTTGAGGAGAGGCTGAGATCTGGGACTGTTCAGCCTGGAGAAGGCTTGGGGGAATCTCATCAATGTATATAAATACCGGATAGGAGGGACTGAAGATGGAGCCAGGCTCTTTTCATTGGTGCCCTGTGCCAGGGCCAGAGGGAATGGGCACACACCGAAGCACAGGAGGTTCCCTCTGAACATCAGGAAACACCTTTTCCCTGCAAGGGTGACTGAGCACTGGCACAGGCTGCCCAGGGAGGTTGTGGAGCTTCCCTTCCTCAAAAGCCATCTGGACATGGTCCTGGTCAGCCAGCTCTAGATGGTCCTGCTTGAGCAGGGGCAGGTTGGACCAGATGCCCTCCAGAGGTCCCCTCCAGCTTCAGCCGTTCTGTGATTCTATCAGTTAAGCATAAGAATAACTCACTGATGTCAATAAAGCTATATACATGTTATGTTATATGCTCGCTGCGTTGGAAGGTAGAATTGCATCAGCTGGTCAGTGACAAAATATATTGCTTCCAGTGAAACCAAGATTAGGACTTTATTTCTTTTACAAGAAAAATGACACAAAATGTTAGGAGCAAGCATGTTCCACTTTGACCTTTGTTGGGAACGCATACAAAGTATAAAGAGTCCCATCCTTCCAACCTCATATATCCTTCTCTCTGAGGATATGAAAGATCATAAGATGTCTTTACTTCTGTGGTGGAATCCAAACTGAGCATGCCCTGGAGCTGCTTGTTCTGGGAAATGTTTCTATAAAAGAAGTATGTTAATATTCTGAAAGTTAATTTTGGATTTAGCTTGTTCTCCCTCATGGCTGCAGATTTTGCAGGTGTCTAGGGCTGTCAGTAATTTGATTTAAAGGCAGAGAAAGCTATGAGAAGTTTCAGAGAGAGTAATTATTCGATAAGATTTGAAATAGGATTCTCATCTGGTGGCACAGAGTGTTAAACAATCATCTGTGTACTCTCCAGGGTGGCAGTAATTTGGCTGGGTACGAAAGTCCTTGTCTTCAAAGAAGCTTTTAGAAATACCTGTGTGAAGTCAGTGATGGCTGTATTTCTTACAGTTCCAGATTGGAACACTGAACTGAAACTTACTTCTAAGGACATAAAACACCTTAAAGAGCCTCCCTTGCATAAGCACTACCATGCATTTTGCACAGAGCTATTTCTGCATATATGGATTCTAGGTGGGGTATGTCATTTAATGAATAGGACAAATAACCTGACACTTCTAACTGTAAAACATTAAATTCAAGCCTAACAATTTCTGACAAACTTTTTCAGGGTCAGGTTTCAAACTTTTTATTCAGTCAAACTTTTTCCTGAGCATCTGTTGCCTTCCTCTTTTGTGGCTAGACAGCTACATAAAATGGAATCAACACAGTTGCTTCAGTATAGTTGTTTTAATATGTAAAATATATCTGAAACAATGTTTTCCACTGAATTTAAATCTGTGTTGGTTGTCATGTTTTCAAAGGTAGCAGATACAGGGTTCTCAAAAACATAGGGCAGAGCAAATAATGCTTTAATTTCAGTAAATTTGCAGAGAGCTGTACCAAAATGTCTTTGAAAAATAAAGCTATAATCCATTACGTGTGATGTCAGTCTTTTTTTAAGGACATGGTGCTTCTCTGTTCTTGATGTTTCAGCCTGCATATACTGCCTAGTAACTTTTAAACCAATCAAGGCAACTCTGGCTAAAACTGGTGAAGGGGACAGGCACAGGACGGTAATAAATTCTACTACTGTTTACAAAATTCACCAACTGGTTAGAAAAAAAAGATTCCTAGCCCAGCATCCCCATTTGAGGAAGGGGCTGAAGTGTGACCTGAACAGCCACCTTCCCATCTGGGGGGTGGGCATCAGCCTGCCTCCGACAGAAATCCGACAGCTGCTGCCCAAGCACGGCCAGTGGGCAGGAGGGGGAGCGGGGGCAGCGTGCAGGGCCCCTCACAGACGTGGGGGTGGGAATGCCAGCTGTGACCCACTGGCCTTTTAGTTACAGGCAACGGAGAACAAGCTGTCTCCCACAGGAGACAGAGCGTCGTTATTCTTGCTGCTCATGAGTCATAATTCTGGTAAATACGTAGTTTCTTCAGTTTTGTCCGCATGTCAAACTTACTCTGAAATAGGTGCATGGCAGCGTAGCTCTACATGTTTATATTTCTATCCTGGAAGTGGTTTAGGTGAGACAGGTACATGCAATAATTATTTATGTAAAGCTCTAACCTTGCATGCAGTGCTTCAGGTTCTGGGAGTTGTTCCATGACAACTACTTGACAACACCTCTTGATTCTCGATTTTATTTGAGCAGGATTTTATGCACGCATGAGTAACAGGTTACACATTCAGAGCTAAGCTATTTTTTCTTCCGTGCACTGGAGAGGCACTGGACTGGCCTTCTGCCCCTGCAGTGCCGCCCTCTCCTCACTGGCCATGCACAGTTCACGTCTCATGCTACTGCTCTTCCACTGATTATACCTCACCACTTCTTGCTTGCATGGCTTAACATTTTTTGCTCATACTGGCTGCTGATGACCAACAGAACTGTGCAAGCCTAAGCAAAACAGGTGCTAAGACAGAAAACCACTAACATGGTAAAACTGAGATGGATAATAGGCTGGCTCTGTTACAAAAGTTCCTGAAATTATTTCTGCAAATACAACAAAAATCAAGTTAAAATATATCCAACACCAGACAAGGCATGAAGCCCAATATGGATAACTATTACTATAAAACATTAAGGGCTATTACTAGTACAAAACTGTTATAATAATTAATGTTACTGGCAGATGCCAAAAAGTAAAATAGGCTTTCTGCATCTCCCAGCATTATAATTTGTTAGAGCCTGGAAGTAAAAGTGAAGTTGTTAGAAAACTGCTTGTTAGGATAAACATTTTATCCTTATGGTGTTTATATTTTTTTTTTTTTTATGAACACTGTATCTTACCTCCAGCAGAGATTACAGTGTTGATTTGGGAAAGGCAAGATTCTGTCTCCAAAGATGAGCAGTAAGAAAAAATTCAAAACACACTTTAACAATTTTCACCATTGAGAAAATAACAGTATTACAAATACTGTAATGAAGTTTGACAGATGAACTAAGCAGAGAAAGTAAACACTATTATATGCTGCTATTATTCAGAAAAGTCAGATGATATATCTCAGCATTATTTTGTCAAACACTGTATAGAGGGAAAATCTGAGTATTCATATAGTCACTCTTCTTTGTTCTTAAATACCTATGTTATTTACACGTTATTTGTCCCTGGTTGATCCTTTATATAAATATTTGTGTTAAGTCATTTTTGCCATTTTCAGAATTTTACATAATTGTCCTAAGAAGAATTTTTAAAGTGGAAAAGGAATGTGTTCCAAAAAACTTGGTATAATGAGGAGCTACTTTGGAGTTTGTATCACCATACAAAATATATACATCTTGTTTAAGTTGGAAGAGTATCTGCCATTTTAGTACCTCTACGTTTCTCCGGTTGTATCTCCAGCTTTGTGGAACTCAGACTAAAAATGCATCCCTTAGAAACAGATTAAAA